TTACTTTACTGAACATTCTTGCTCCTTACTATTATCTCTATCTATAATGAACTTGGCCTGGTAGTTACAGTGGAAAATACTTTGTAAAAATTTACAAAAATTTACAAAATTTATGAAAATTGTAAAAAATTGACTATAAAGGGCAATAACTCCTTAAGGGGTCAATTGACAATTTTGGTCATGTTGCCTTATTTGTAGATCTAACTTTGCTGTACATTATTGCTGTTAACAGTTTATCTCTATCTATAACAATATTCAAGATAATAACCAAAAGCTGCAAAATTTTCTTAAAATTACCAATTCAGGGGCAGCAACCCAACAACGGGTTGCCTGATTGGTCTGAAAATTTCAGGGCAGATAGATCTTGACCTAATGAACAATTTTATCCTCATCAGATTCGCTCTAAATGCTTTGGTTTCAGAGATATGAGCCAAAAACTGCATTTTACCCTATGTACTATTTTTTAGCCATGTCGGCCATCTTGGTTCGCGGGCAGGGTCATCGGACACATTTTTTAAAATAAATACCCTAATGATGATTGTGGACAAGTTTGGTTAAATTTGTCTTAGTAGTTTCAGAGGATAAGATTTTTGTAAAAAATTACAAAAAATTACGAAAAATGGTTAAAAATTGACTATAAAGGGCAATAACTCCTTAAGGGGTCAACTGACCATTTTGGTCAAGTTGACTTATTTGTAGATCTTACTTTGCTGAACATTATTGCTGTTTACAGTTTATCTCTATCTATAATAATGTTCAAGATAATAACCAAAAACTGCAAAATTTCCTTAAAATTACCAATTCAGGGGCAGCAACCCAACAACGGGTTGCCGGATTGGTCTGAAAATTTCAGGGCAGATAGATCTTGACCTAATGAACAATTTTATCCTCATCAGATTTGCTCTTAATGCTTTGGTTTCAGAGATATGAGCCAAAAACTGCATTTTACCCTATGTACTATTTTTTAGCCATGTCAGCCATCTTGGTTCGCGGGCGGGGTCATCAGACACATTTTTTTAAACTAGATACCCTAATAATGATTGTGGACAAGTTTGGTTAAATTTGTCTTAGTAGTTTCAGAAAAGAAGATTTTTGTAAAAGATTACAAAAATTTACGAAAAATGGTTAAAAATTGACTATAAAGGGCAATAACTCCTTAAGGGGTCAAATGACCATTTTGGTCAAGTTGACTTATTTGTAGATCTTACTTTGCTGAACATTATTGCTGTTTACAGTTTATCTCTATCTATAATAATGTTCAAGATAATAACCAAAAATGGCAAAATTTCCTTAAAATTACCAATTCAGGGGCAGCAACCCAACAACGGGTTGTCCCATTCATCTGAAAATTTCAGGGCATATAGATCTTGACCTGATAAACAATTTTACCCCATGTCAGATTTGCTCTAAATGCTTTGGTTTCAGAGATATAAGCCAAAATCTACATTTTACCCCCATGTTCTATTTTTAGCAATGGTGGCCATCTTGGTTGGTTGGCCGGGTCACCGGACACATTTTTTAAACTAGATACCCCAATGATGATTGTGGCCAAGTTTGGTCAAATTTGGCCCAGTAGTTTCAGAGGAGAAGATTTTTGTAAAAGTTTACGGACGACGGACGACGGACGACGGACGACGGACGCCAAGTGATGAGAAAAGCTCACTTGACCTTTCAGGTCAGGTGAGCTAAAAAACTAAAAGTTAAATCTTTCAAATTATACAGTTTTAACCAAACCACAAAGAGTACCCAAAAAATTAAGATATCTTATATGAACTGAACAAAAAATCCATCTCATTCAAAATCTAATCTATTTTTCAGTACTTGGTGTTTCTTTTGAATGCGGTGTTTTGGGCGATTCTTATTTTTACTTCGATGTTATTTAAAATATACTCTGGTTTCTTTTACATCTACACACCATTTTAGTACAGATTTCAAACGCATGTTAATATATTTGCCTAACCTATTAGGACTGTTCCATAAAAAACATGTATGGGGCCCAGAGAACTACTTCTAAATCATCTATGGGTTGGGTTAAGACTATATACAGTGAAGATACAAGAAAAGTTCTAAAATTTTCTCTATAGATGGTATCCTATTTTCAAAGTGGTTTTCCCTGGGTACCATGTATGTTTTAATGTAAGTCCTTATGTAATAACGAGATGGTGTTAAAATATTTCCAAATACTTTTTTTAACTCATGTGTAGCTGATCAAAGGGAGATAACTTCTATTATAGTTTAATGAAACAACATGCAAGTTAAGGTGTCTGATGGATAATATTGAAACAAAAAGTCAAAACATACTAAACATATAACAGATATGTTTATGTTGGATTTGAACACAAATACAGGCAACAAAAAAACTTTGTGAGCTAACATTGTTTAAAGTTTGCTACATGCTAACAATACTGTTGTCCTTAAATAAATATGCAATATAAGTAAACAAACATTAACAATATATAATAATGATATGTTTGAATATATAGTGTATGCCATTTAATCCAATAATCCCAATCATATCTGCCAATTAACTGCATTTTATTTCAGCTATGTAAAATATACACAAAATCATAAACTTTTCTTCTAACCCATCAAGTGTTCTCTCTCTCTTTTTTAGATTTGAAATTTAGTAAGGGCGTGTCCATATAATGTCACTACTACAATTTTTTGTACATGATTGAAGACCTTATGATGACCACTGCAAGTGTTTCATTACACTACTATACAGTCCGCCAAAAGTTAAGCACCACCTGAATATAACTGGCAATATTTTTTTAACTATTGCGAAAAAATTATTTATGTTTGATGTTATGAATTGCCTTTAACAAACACTAAGAAAATTCATTACGACCAAAAAGATTTAACTCCGATAAACCCGTCAATCAATTTTTTATTAAAGGCCGTCTGCACTTTTACGAACACAATGTTTCAATACCTTTAAATCATCTTCCTACCGTCCCGCGTACAGGTAAAATTTGACCTTCATCAAGTCATTGTGTAATATGGCAAGGCGTTAGTCATCTGTGGCAAAACATTGGCAAGCGATTGGCATGTCAAATGCCGGAAGGAGCACTAGCAGCATAAGTAACAATTTCAATGTTAACCACACCGTCATTGTCAGACTTTTACAACGTCATGTTGACACAGGTACTGTAAATGATAGCCCAAAGTCCGGAGGACCCCGTTTTACTACCCGTCGTGATGACAGACTGCTTATTCCTCGTGATAAAGCCAACCCATTTACTACTGCCCCGCAGCTTAGTCACCACTGGCCTCTAAGTGGTCGTGTTAGTGTTCAAACATTGGTCCGTCGATTTCACAGAGGCAATCTAATGGCACGTCGTGTAGTCAAGAGACCTGTCCTAAAAGCCAGGCACCGTTTAATCAGGTTCTAATGAGTTATGACCATCGACGCCGACACATGAGAAGCTGGCAAAAAAAACATTGGTCAGATGAGAGTCGGTTTTTGTTACGACCAGTAGAATCCAGAAAACGAGGTTGGCGGGAAAATAAAACTGCCTATGACCAATTCAACATTTGCCCAAAGACTGCATTCGGTGCTGGTAGTGTTACAGTATGGAGTTGCTTCTCATACCGTTGTAAGCTGGGTGTGCATATTCTGCAGGGTAACATGAACGGACAGACGTACAGGGATTTGGTGCTTAGACACATCGTAGTCTCTCATTTTGATAATCACCCACTTGCGTCAAGACCTTTGTACATGGACGACAACGCTAGACCACACAGGGCAAGGATTGTAACAGCAAGAAGCCATTGACACATTGTGACACTATCTTTTGGCCTTCCATGTCTCCAGACATGAACCCTATCGAACATGTCTGGGATGCCATTGCCTGAAATCTCAATCGCAGAGATACACCTTTGCAAAATCTTGGCGATTTCAGAGTGGCAATTGTTAATGAATGGAATAAATTTCCTCAACTTAAGTTCAGAAGGCTTGTACAGAGTATGAGACGCCGTGTTATGGAATTGTACCGGAAGAGAGGTGGTTACACATCCTATTGACTCAAATATTGACATAAAATTTGTCGAACATACCAAAGATTATTTGTAGAGAATGTTAATGATATTGGGTGATTAATTGTTGTAAAAAATAAAATCACAGTGGAACTTAAATTCCGTTTCATATTTGTGTAATTTGCACTATTTCTATTAATGCAAAATTTAAATGCATATAACCTGCATAAGTGACCAAAATTGATTTTATGGTTTGTTTATGGTATATGTTAGTAAAATTGCTACATGAATCTTATCTCTTTTTCGAGGAATAACTGATTTTTTTAAATGAAAAAAAAATCGATGCAATAAAAATAGGTGGTGCTTTACTTTTGGCGGACTGTATATGTTGCTGTTTTATTGATGTATTCCCAACATCTTCAGTTATGATATGATGATAACATATTGACACAAAAGTTGCATGTAAGGTCATTGTCAAACTTCAAAACACAGATTAATTCAAAAACCCTAAAAACAGATATATTAAACTAAATCATATCAATTAATAAATAAATTAACTGTGTCCATGCATACACATTATAATTATATCCAAATTTATCAATGATCGATATGAACTGAATAATTTTGTGCAAAATTCTAATACTGATATTTTAACATACCTATAAACTCTTAAAACTATATAGGACATTCTTAAAAAATATAGCAACAAAATGTAATACTTTAAACAGACACATCAAAACATATAAATAACAACCTAACAAGACTTAACTAATATCTTATAAACAAAGATTCAATTTATCTGCTACAACGACATTAACAACGTTCATATGAATATTACCATGATAATATTTTCTTACGACAAACATCTATTTGCAATTATCTTTCTTTAGAACACATTACTGTTTGCTATTCAAATATCTAATTGTTAAAAAATTATATTGTTTCGCAATTTTTTTTACATTTTCTGGAAACATGCAGAAGTCCCCCCCCCCCCCCCCCCCCCCCCCACTCCCACCTCTCCTCCCTGCCCAAACTATAAAATTAAGTTTCATACTATACATTTTCCTTTCAATCTTATAATAAGACAACTGAACTTTTCAATGAAAAGTGATAGAATGATTAAATTTTTTTTTTAATTCACATCTTAACCATTTTAAAGTGTTTTATTGATCTTAAAATAAATTTTGATCACTTGAGAGATATAAATACTTTCTTAAAGGATTTCTTCTTTAAAATATTTTTCAAATATGTATATAAACTTTCTTTCATTATACAGTTTACACAAATAGGAAAATAGGAAATCCTCAATGTGTATGTTTCATGCAGTATTACATATCAACAACCCAATAGCCTATATAATATTAATTTGATAAACAAATATAATTTGCCGTCCTTTTTTCTCAATTGTCTTGTATCTTCAGATGTTCTATTTTGACCAGACCTCTTTTTGTACCTGCTCTAAATTTGGCTAAATCTTTTCTTGTAATCATCCCTAAAGGCTGGATATAAAATGAAATAATTGATTACTTGATGAAGTTTAACAAGAGTGCACATGCTGAAATGTCTCACCTGCTTTACTGATCATGATTGAATTTGATGTTGAAAGTTTTGAAAATAAAGGTTTTATTTATACAGGTATCATAAAAACTTAAAGGGGCATTAACTACAAGATATAAAAAAAGAAATGCAAATATGATTTTTTTTGGTTTAATCATTAATGAAAGTGAAATAGTGAAATAATAATTCGCTTTTAGCAGCCAGTTTGGTTCAATTTTGTCAAAATAAGCTAAGAAACATTGCTGATGAATTATTCACTTGCAAGTGAATAATTCGACCTCATTGAATCCATATTCATGTGACCTTCAATTTAACCCCTTAGCTAGAGATGGGTTACACATGAATTAGGCGTGTTCAGTTATTAAAAGGAAAAGAACATCAACATTGAAAGTGAAACAAGGGTAAACCATTTGATTGACTTTTTTTCAATCCACAAAAACTCATTCTTATGCAGGTAAAAACGATGATTAACGTATACTTTTAATCTATGTTATAAAATCAAACAGACATAGAAAAATCCAATTGCACGAGTTCGCTATCTATTTATATCTATATTTATGTTTATATCGGGTTATATAACCGTCGGCAGTCTTCGGATGTCACTTCGATAGTTAGTTAGAAATGTCTAGACTAAAATACACACAAAATGCTGACACATATTATCGAGCCCATGCATTGTAAATTGTTTATTTTAGACTTTTTATAATTTGGATGTATGTTTAGTATGTTATAAATCAAACATGAGAATTTGAGTCAAATTGGTGAACATGAATTTGACAGCTAATGTTCCTTTAACATGATCAATGAACTATGAAAAAGAGGTCAAGGCATATTGATTTTTCCCAAACAGATTTGTACATCTTACAATCATTCCATACAGCAAAAATAGTTGACCATGCCCAAAAAATCAACATTGACCAATGAACCATGTAAATGAGGCCATGGTCAGAGGAACCCTACTAGAGACATGTACACCTAACAATCATTCAATTCACCAAATATAGTTAGTTGGCTTACTGCTTATAGTATTAGAACAAGAGTGCACACACTGAAATGTCTCGCCTTCTTTACTAATCATTGATATTATGTTGATAGTCCTAAATATAAAGCTTTATTACAACTGTCACATAAACTTAACATTAACCAAGTAAACTAAACATTGACCAATGAACCATGAAAATGAGGTCAAGTTCAGATGAACCATGCTAGGCAGGCATGTACAGCTAACAATTCTTCCATACAACAAATATAGTTGACCTATTGCTTATAGTTTAAGAAAAACAGACCAAAACACAAAAACTTAACACTGAGCAATGAACCTTGAAAATGAGGTCAAGGTCAAATAAAACCTGTGTGACTGCCAAATAGATCATAAAATATTTCCATACACCAAATATAGTTGAACTATTGCATATAGTATTAGAAAAAAAAGACCAAAACTCAAAAACCTTAACTTTGACCACTGAACCATGAAAATGAGGTCAAGGTCAGATGACACCTGCTCGCTAGACATGTACACCTTACAATCATTCCATACACCAAATATAGTAGACCTATGGCATACAGTATAAGAAAAACAGACCAAAACACAAAATCTTAACTGTAACCACTGAACCATGAAAATGAGGTCAAGGTCAGATGACACCTGCCAGTTGGACATGTACACCTTACAGTCCTTCCATACACTGAATATACTAGACCTATTGCTTATAGTATCTGAGATATGGACTTGACCACCAAAACTTAACCTTGTTCAATGATCCATGAAATGAGGTCGAGGTCAAGTGAAAACTGTCTGACGGGCATGAGAACCTTGCAAGGTACGCACATACCAAATATAGTTGAACTATTGCATATAGTATTAGAAAAAAAGACCAAAACTCAAAAACTTAACTTTGACCACTGAACCATGAAAATGAGGTCAAGGTCAGATGACACCTGCCCGCTAGACATGTACACCTTACAATCATTCCATACACCAAATATAGTAGACCTATGGCATACAGTATAAGAAGAACAGACCAAAACACAAAAACTTAACTATAACCACTGAACCATGAAAATGAGGTCAAGGTCAGATGACACCTGCCAGTTGGACATGTACACCTTACAGTCCTTCCATACACCGAATATACTAGACCTATTGCTTATAGTATCTGAGATATGGACTTGACCACCAAAACTTAACCTTGTTCACTGATCCATGAAATGAGGTCGAGGTCAAGTGAAAACTGTCTGACGGGCATGAGGACCTTGCAAGGTACGCACATACCAAATATAGTTATCCTATTACTTATAATAAGAGAGAATCTAACATTACAAAAAATCTTAACTTTTTTTTCAAGTAGTCACTGAACCATGAAAATGAGGTCAAGGACATTGGACATGTGACTGACGGAAACTTCGTAACATGAGGCATCCATATACAAAGTATGAAGCATCCAGACCTTCCACCTTCTAAAATATAAAGCTTTTAAGAAGTTAGCTAACGCCGCCCCCGCCGCCGGATCACTATCCCTATGTCGAGCTTTCTGCGACAAAAGTCGCAGGCTCGACAAAAACTGACCAATCAACCATGAAAATGTGGTCAAGGTCAGATGAATCCCGATACTGTAAACCAACTAATTTGTGTGAGCCATTTATTTTCACAACTTTGGCGAGTAGAAAAATAACGTGAATATGTAAAACTTGGATTTTTCCTCATTTATCTACACCAAGTAAATTTGAGAATCGTGAAATTAAATCGCTGCGAAATGGACTTGAAAGGGCTAAACGCAAAATAAAGTATCCGCGGAAATAAGTTGGTTTATAGTATATGGACATGCGAACCTTACAATCATTTCATATACCAAATATAGTGGACCCAATGCTTATAGTATCTTAGAAATAGACTTATTGTTTGTTCTTATGGTGTGCTGTTACACCACTAAATCCCAGGTTAGGGGAACCGCAAACATATATTACCCAGCCTGCATGTGCCTGTCCCAAGTCAGGAGCCTGTGATTCAGGGGTTGTTGTTTGATGCTGTATATCATATTTGGTTTTTTCATTTATTGTTTTGTACATAAATCAGGCAGTTAGTTTTCTCGTATGAATTGTTTTACATTTGTCATTTCGGGCATTTTATAGTTTGCTGTGCGGTATGGATTTTATTCATTGTTGAAGGCCTTATGTTGACCTATAGTTGCTTACTTCCATGTCCTTTGGTCTCTGGTGGATAACTGTCTCATTGGCAATCATACCACAACTTCTTATTTTTATATTGACCACGAAAACTAAACATTTATATTAATCTATGGAATGATGTCAATGTCGGTGAATCTTGTATGACTGACATGTAGACCTTTTAATGACTCTATAAACCAATTATAGTTGTTCCATATTTCATAAAAGCGAGAAAGTGTCTCAGTAAAAGCAAAAGCTGAACCACAAAAATGAGGTCAAGGAGGTTAAAGTAGTGACAAATTCTTGTATCCAGGGCAGTTGTGTGATTTTTCAGCTGTGTCCAAATTTGAAATATGTGTTTTATCCGCAAAATATTATAGGTATAAAATTTCCCAACAAAAATGATTTTACTTACAGTCAATTTATCATCTGTTACAATTAAATGTCTCAATCCTAGACCTCTGAATACATTAAATACTTTTGGCAGAGAAAATGTCTGGAAAATAAAAGTTAATATTAAGTCAAGAAATCTTGACAGTGATTGTCACCATTAGTTTTCTTCTTTCTACAGAAAGTTGAGAAATGTTCGAATTCATGAGATAACAAAAAGAATATGATTTTTGACCGTCAAACTTGACCACCATTTTGTCGTAAGTAATAACAATGTAAAATGTGGAAAGCTATTGTTGAATGGTTTTGAAGTTATTGCAAGAAAACAGTTGGAGTGGACAGTTGGGCTTAAATCATATAATTGAACAGGACAACATTTCTGCTGTTGCAAAAGTAACTAAAATAAATAATTGCACCATCTGGAAAAAAAAACCAGTTTATTTTTTCAAGGCAATTTAAATTACATGTGTAACTATCTAACCAAGCACTAGTACTGTATTATAGCAAACATTATTGGAAGAAAACAATAGTTTTCCTATCAGTTTTAAAATAGGCTTTGCATTACCTAAATAAAATGCTTCGCTGGGCGCAGCTTGATACGACCGCAGAGGTCGAACCCTGAACAGTTGGGGCAAGTATGGACACAACATTCAAGCTTGATACAGCTCTGAATTTGGATTGTGATTAAATATTTGACACAGCATAGGTTTCTGACACAGAAAGAATGTGGTCTAAGAACTTCAATTTTTTTAATTTACCTATTATGGTCCAATGTCCAAAATCAAAATACATGGTTAGATTCAGCATATCAAAGAACCCCATATATTCAATTTTTGTTGAAATCAAACAAAGTTTAATTTTGGACCCCAACTTGGACAAACTTGAAAACTGGTCCCATAATCAAAAATCTAAACACATGTTTAGATTCAGCATATCAAAGTACCCGAAGAATTCAATTTTTGTAAAAATCAAACTAAGTTTAATTTTGGACCCTTTGGACCTTAATGTAGACAAATTTTAAAAACGGGACCCAAAATTAAAAATCTAAAAACACGGTTAGATTTGGCATATCAAAGAACCCCAATAATTCAATTTTTGATGAAATCAAACAAAGTTTAATTTTGGACCCTTTTGACCTCAATATGAACCAATTTGATAGCGGGCCCACAAATAAAAAATCTAAATACATGGTAAGATTCAGCATATCAAAGAACCCCATATATTCAATTTTTGTTGAAATCAAACAAAGTTTAATTTTGGACCCCAATTTGGACCAACTTGAAAACTGGGCCAAAAATCTAAAATCTAAATACATGTTTAGATTCAGCATATCAAAGAACCCCATATATTCAATTTTTGTTGAAATCAAACAAAGTTTAATTTTGGACCCCAACTTGTACCAACTTGAAAACTGGTCCCATAATCAAAAATCTAAACACATGTTTAGATTCAGCATATCAAAGAACCCCAAAAATTCAATTTTTGTTAAAATCAAACTAAGTTTAATTTTGGACCCTTTGGACCTTAATGTAGACCAATTTAAAAAACAGGACCCAAAATTAAAAATCTAAATACACGGTTAGATTTGGCATATCAAAGAACCCCAATAATTCAATTTTTGATGAAATCAAACAAAGTTTAATTGTGGACCCTTTTGACCTCAATATGAACCAATTTGATAGCGGGCCCACAAATAAAAAATCTAAATACATGGTAAGATTCAGCATATCAAAGAACCCCATATATTCATTTTTTGTTGAAATCAAACAAAGTTTAATTTTGGACCCCAATTTGGACCAACTTGAAAACTGGGCCAAAAATCTAAAATCTAAATACATGTTTAGATTCAGCATATCAAAGAACCCCATATATTCAATTTTTGTTGAAATCAAACAAAGTTTAATTTTGGACCCCAACTTGGACCAACTTGAAAACTGGGCCCATAATCAAAAATCTAAACACATGTTTAGATTCAGCATATCAAAGAACCCTAAGAATTCAATTTTTGTTAAAATCAAACTAAGTTTAATTTTGGACCCTTCGGAACTTAATGTAGACCAATTTAAAAAACGGGACCCAAAATTAAAAATCTAAATACACGGTTAGATTCGGCATATCAAAGAACCCCAATAATTCAATTTTTGATGAAATCAAACAAAGTTAAATTTTGGACCCTTTGGACCTCAATGTGGACCAATTTAAAAACGGGGCCCAAAATCCAAAAACTTAATACACAGTTAGATTCAGCATATTAAAGAACCCCAAGAATTCAAAAATAAAACCCCATTGAAATTGATCAAGAAATAAGCAATTTATACGAAGTATCTTCTTTTGCACAATACTGTGCAATTGAATATTTCTTGCTATTGCGCAATACTGTACAATTGACAATTTCTTGCTATTGCGCAATATTGTGCTATTGGTAATTTCTTGCTATTGCGCAATACTGTTAAATTGAAGATTTCTTGCTATTGCGCAATACTGTGCAATTGAAGATTTCTTGCTATTGTGCAATACTGTGCAATTGAAAATTTCTTGCTATTGCACAATACTTATTATATAATTTACACATCCTGTTTGGTGTGTATCTCCTACCATATCATTATTATTTGCTTTTAAATATAAATCAGAAATAACCAACTTAAAATGGAAAATTTTAAAAGAAAAAAAAAAGAAAAGAAAAAAAAAAAAAAAATCCCTCCCCCCCCCAATTTTTTGAACCCCCTTATGATTCATCACCCCCAAACTCAATCCCAGCCTTCCCTTTGTGGTATGGTACCTTGCAGTACAATTTCAGAGAGATCCATACACTTGAACACAAGTTATTGTCTGGAAACTAGAAAAATGCTTATTTTTGGCCCCTTTTTGGCCCCCAATTCCTAAACGTTTCGGGCAATTACCCCCAAATTCAATTCCAACTTTCCCTTTGTGATATGGAACCTTGTAGTACAATTTCAGAAATATCCAAACACTTACACACAAGTTATTGTCATGAAACTAGAAAAATGCTTGTTTTTTGCCCCTTTTTTGGCCCCTAATTCCTAAAATTTTGAGGCAATTACCCCCAAAATCAATTACAGCCTTCCCTTTGTGATATGGAACCTTGTGGTACAATGTCAGAGAGATCCATACACTTACACACAAGTTATTGTCTGAAAGTTACAAAAATGCTTATTTTTGGCCCCTTTTTGGCCCCTAATTCCTTAACTGTTGGTACCATAACCCCCAAAATCAATCCCAACCTTCCTTTTGTGGTATTGAACCTTATGGTGAAATTTCATGGAGATCCATTCACTTAAACTAAAGTTAGAGTGCGAAAACCAATGTGTCTTCGGACGACGCCGGACGACGCCGGACGACGACGACGACGACGACGACGACGACGACGACGACGCCAACGTCATACCAATATACGACCAAAAAATTTTTAATTTTTGCGGTCGTATAAAAATCTGTGAAAAAGACCCTTTTAAGATATTATACATACATATCCAGAGTAGTATGTTTGTTGGAAACTGATACACCTCCCAAAAGCAATTTGAATTTAATGAAGAATTGACACGCAATGTCTTGCAAAGTATACCCCTTCTTATTACAGACAGTGATGAAAATTCCATATTCAGTGGGTTTAATATAAATTCAAAGTATCATCAGAAGTGGCAGATCTGAAAATCACTTACAAGGTGCAACACAATATTAAAAGGACCAAATATAAAATCATTCCTTAATACAAATGAGTAAAATATGACAAAAGTCATACAGATGAATAGAACAACTTCAACAAGTCATTAGAGTATACCACTCACTCCATGATTGGGTGTATAATAGTATCTACAAGGATGTCTTAGGCCAAGTGTATTTTTTTACCCTAGACATTGGAATGGGGCATATTAAAAATCACGAAAACTGAAGATCCTCTGATATTAGGATTATTTAAACATTGCATTAGAATATCAAAGCATTTAATAAATTTTAGAGAACTTATTAACATTAATTTTTAAATATTTTTTTTAATAATGGTGGCCTAAATTTATAAGTATAAATCAATGGAGATGTGGGGTAGATGCCAATGAGACAGCAACCAAAAAACAAAAATTATCATCTAGATGGCAACATATATGGTCCTCAACAACAGACAGAAAAAGTATAAAATTGCACACTATTTTACTCTACCTTCTCAATGGTGTGTGGTGTGGGGTTATAAAATGGTCTAAGATCTATCATGTAATTTCTCTCTTCTTCAGAAATGGCTATATCCTAAATAAAACATATGAAAATGTATTACTCATATTTTATGAAATAAAATAATTGCTTAAGTATAATATATTATGGATTATTATTCATACAATATTAAATTCAATGAAGACAAGAACTTTTTCAAAAAGATAAAACCCTTCAATAACAAGAACACATTTGTTTTAAAAAACAAACTGTTGACACAGAGATATGTCTCACCTGTCTGCATAAAATTCAGAAAAAAGGCAATCTGAAGAACAGCAACATTGCTAATTAATTCAAAGTCGCTGAAACATGAACTAGCGGGTAGGGCCTCGAAATGGTCAACAAACTGAGATGTACAGACAGTACTGTAACTTTATATAAAACATCGTTGTCTATTTCAAACAGTTTCTATCGAACTAACTTAAGCAGAAAACTTAACATTGAAAGTTGCTAATTAATTCAAAGTCACTGGACCATGACATAGGGGCAGGGCCTCCTAATAGTCGACAAACTGATATGTCCAGATGGTAATGCAACTTTACAGAAAATATGATTGATCTATCCTATCAAACTAACTTCAGCAGAAAACTTAACAATTATTGACAATGACGATAATGCTGCAGTCACTGGAAAAGCAATACCTATGTCTCACCTTCCACGACCGAGACAAAAAAACAACAGATCTACTCAAATATGATGTATTCATAGTATCAACTGCAAAATATGTCAGGTTCTTTAATGTCTACAATATAAAGGATTCAAAGAAGGTCTGATATTCTGATTCATGTTTACTACCTGCTCAGTAAAGCTTTACAGAGGTATTTCAAATGGATTTTCAGAACTATACAACCTAAAACCTTTAACTCATGGTTAAAATAAATAACAAACTATAATTCATGATCCAAGAATTTATACAAATTTCAAGGAATCTGCATTTTTATGTTACACAGAAACACTTCAACAGTACTGGTTTTAAAGAAAAATCACACACACTGAAATGTGTGAAATACCAACTGATATGACTTTACAAACTTACTTTTATTTTCAAATACAGTGGATAAAAATTTCTGAAATCTGCTATGGTAATACTTTTTGGTTGCGGAAGCCCTTCTGGAGCAAAAATCTGCAAAATATGAACTTAAACGTGAGTCTTGCGATGCATGTAAATGATTTGAATAAGTGGTTAAAAAGCTACTTACATTAGGACCTATTGATGTTATTCTGTTACATTTTGGCTGAAATAATTTGTGAGTTACAAGTAGACTCAGATAAAATTTAAAACTGTGAAAATCTGTGCAAGTTAGTGGGAATTATGTCTAGCCTTTTTTCACGATGTGACTTAGATCGTGATAGTGGTGGAGTGAGCAGCTGAGACGTTCAGTACTCCATCCTTTTACCCTATTTCAAACATTACATTCCTTTATAAATGATGCTGACATCAGAATACCCGGTATATAATGAAGCTTGAAATAGGAACCCATTCAGACAGCTTGTCCCTACCACTAAATACATAGTAAAAAATATTTACCTCACATCTTTCATTTGTATAAGAACCCTAAGGATTAACTGGGGTATATAAATATGGTCAACCCCTGATCTTCTCCTGTCCTGCAGTAAAACCTGGCTGAACTGGAAAGTCCATTTGGCAGTTTTGGATGTATAAATATAAAGCTTAGTCTGGTAGGAATGGAAACATTAAATCTTATGCCCCATATAGGGGTAGATCCAAGCTCTCTGCAAGTGTTAAAAGCCTTACAGCAATTCTCTGAGGGGTCCATAAGTGGCCTGTTGCAAGGCAAAAGTTTTGTTCCTATCCAAAATACCCTCATTTTCAAGTGATAGACTAAATTTCCCATCCTTCATGCTGATCAATCTACTGTACAGAATCTACCTATTGTAGTAATTGTAAATTTGTTCTCATCCTTAGTACTCAAGAAATATTTGCCACTAGACGTCAAGCAAACAACAATCAATCAATCAACCATTTGTACAAGGTTTAATTTAATACCCTTATATCTTAGCAGTTAAACATAAGGATACTTACTTTTTTCTTCAATATAACTATTAACTGTTCTCTTAGTATCAAACCTTTTAACTTCACTCTGCCAGGCTCCTTTTAAATTATATAAACTAAATAAACTAAATTCTGTAAACCATTCATAGGAAAATGTTTTATGAAAGACAGAATTAGTTATGTTATTTCACAAGTATGAAGTTCATCATCAAAATCTTGTTCTTTTTTCTTATAATGGAGCATGATCTGCTTACCCTTCCGTAGCACCTGAGATCATCCCCGATTTTGATGGGGTTCGATTGGCTCAGTCTTTAGTTTTCTATGTTGTATTTGTATTCTATTGTTTGTCTTTTGGTTTGTTTTCGTTTTTTGTCATGGCTTTATCAGTTTGTTTTCGACTTAAGAGTTTGAATCTCCCGTATCTTTCATTTCTGTTTTTCAGTTATGGTCATAGTTTGCCCTCTGTTCTCTTTAGTTTCCACCCCCACCCCCTCATATGAAATGACAGTGATGATACATATACAGAAAAAAAATATTCAACCCTACCTACAAACTATTTCAACAGAACAGCATGGTTTTTATTTTAAATTACTAATCAACTTGAGATGAACCTATGTACACAGCGAGCTATGACTATGAACTGATTAGTTCTCAACTTACACATGTAGTCAAAGGCAGATATTCTATGATTTCAATTACAAACAAAGGAAGAATTATTGCTATACAACAAACAAATATGACTTACATCTTCTGGTGATTCTGTTATGGGGAAACCACACATATTTTCTGTCTTTAATATATCTACTATTTGACCTACTTTTTCTTTTGGTCTAAACCCAATTAATGGTGACGCCATTACTTCACTGAAACAAAGAGTCATGCATGTCTTTAAGTACTATGTACTACGGTGTTTATATGCATGTATCACAACTCGTTTGCTATGCTCGTGTTTGTTGTGACGTTTTGGATTTCAATGAACGTAATCTATGTATTACTGGTAAATTATTAAGTCAGGGATTTCCTTACCCAAAATTACTAAAAACCTTTACTAAATTCTTCATAGATATAAAGATTTGGTTTGGAAGTTTGGTTGTACCTGTAAAAAACTTATTTTTAACGGGATAGCACATCTTAATTTTTACGGAGATGTTGTTTACCGAGCCCGCGAATTTAGATACGATCTGGGTAAACTTATTCTAAAAGGTTACAAATTCAACACTATAATTAGATCTTTGAATATTGTTTTTATTGGTATTAATATTGATTTTGTGATCAGATAATTAAAAGCAAACTAAATATTATTTCTATATACATATGCACATTCATGGCTCTATAATCTGTCGATACCTGTATCTTGGCATTACACAAGGTCATGTTTTTCTCTGACTGTTAATGATGTCTTTACACTAAATCCATTTGATGTTGGATGTGTACTGATTGATATTTGAGTCTTAGATGCATGATTTTTTTATTAGTTGTTATTGGCTTTCAGCTGTCATTAACTGTGAGTACTCTCAGATCTGTACTTAGTGTCTTTTTGTTGTGGGGATGTATAAGTACCCTGCCACATCCACTCTGTGTTTCTGTTAGAGGATTTCTACTTTGTATCAATCTGATGAGTTAAGCCCTTCTCAACTGATTTTTATAGTTTATTCTTATGTTGTACTGTTACACCACTGTCCCAGGTTATGGGGAGGGTTAGCGCGTCTTCAAACTAGTTCAACCCTGCCACATTCTGTATGTGCCTGTCCCAAGTCAGTAGCCTGTAATTCAGTGGTTGCTGTTTGTTGCTGTATATCATATTTGTTTTTCATTAATTATTTTGTACATAAATCAGGCCTTTAGTTTTCTTGTTTGAATTGTTTTACATTTGTCATTTCGGGGCCTTTTATAGCTGACTATGCGATATGGGTTATACTCATTGGATACCTGTCATCTGACCGGTATTCTGCAGGTGACACCCGTAAATTTCACCTCACACACAGGATTTTTTAAATACACGTCGGGTCGTTAAATAACCCGGGAATTCGAAAAAATTACCCGTTTTCACTTGGATTGTTGAGCCTTCAAACTTTTTAATTATGAAATGATAGATTTCATGAGTGATTTTCCTTTGAAATACCGGCAAATTCATAATCCTTCCTCAGTTCGGAAGTTCAACTGGCTGTGTAAACTGTCAAATTAAGTGACCCATTAAGTGCATGGCTCCACTTGACAGCTTTGGTGTCAAACACACTGTTAATTAACACCAACTACCTTAGCATAAGGTCATAAATAATTCATGTATTTCAAAGATGTTTGGCCAAAAAGTTTTAGTTGCTCCCCTTTTTTGCCACTATTCACAGTATACTCCTTAAATTGATTTTTTCAGAAAAAGATTAAATCTTAGGTAAATGGAATGCAAATACATATCAGAATATTACTTAAAAATGATTTTTTCTATCTTAGAACAATTAGAAAATTATTATTTTGAAAATTATTTTTTTCAAATCTACTTTCTTGAAATGTTCTAATATCAGCTACTCTCAAAAGGATTACTAAGCAAGATATATATAGTAATGCTGTTAAACACACAAAAAGACTGGTGACATGTGGGTGACATAAAAATAATGCAATAAAAGGGGATATGTCTTGGCTTCAAATAATACAGTAACATGCATTTATGTATGAATGGTTCATAAATGCAATGAAGAATTAGAATACTGTTCGATTTAAAATATAAATAAAATGTCCCCTAAATACTTAAATTCAGCTGAAAAAACTTTGTACGCGTTATGACCTGAGATTTTGTTCTTCAATGCAGGTCATGACCTGCATTTTCATTTTCATAGGTTGACAGGTATGTCATTGTTGAAGGCTGTACGGTAACCTATAGTTGTTAATTTCTGTCATTTGGTCTGTTGTGGAGAGTTGTCTCATTGTCAATCATACGACATCTTCTTATTTTTATAAGACAAACCTCAACTGGAAATCTGGAAATACATACCTTGCTCTGATGTCATCCACTAATGGTGGGGCTTCAAATGGTATGATAGGTATACCCATAACTTCTATATTCATATCATATAGACCCTACAATATATCAAATGGTATGATTGGTATACCCATAACTTCTATGTTCATTTCAAATATCTGATCCACTTTTAAAATTATTAGCACTTGTGTGATCAAAAGTCCACAATAAATATATATACATATCTGATATTTACAGTCATTATAAAATCATTGACCCTCTTTCAATTCACAAATATCATCAGAACTCGAGATCCAAATGTTGTGAGTTGCTCATACTTTAGAAAGTTATGAATTCCATGACCCACTTTGAAAACCTAAGTATAACACACTATCATGATTGAAAGTTCAAATAATATATGTCTTTGATACTTACTGTCGTAATAAAATCCCCAACCCATTTTGAAATCATAAGCACGATCATGATTGGCAGTCCAAATGATATATCTCCTGTACATTCTACAATTATCACAGTTAAACTGATCGTTGTACGTAGATTTCCTCCAATCTGACTTGCCGCTCCAATTAAAGCATACTTCCCAAAATCTGCTGACTATAAAAATAGAAATATTTTTATCGAGATATTTCAATGTTTTATTTACAAAGACCTGAATTACTGAACTTGTGGAATAAATCTTTAACAGCAAGGCTCATAGTATTGGCAACTGTTAATACCTGAACATTAAATAGTATTTGACTGTACAGTTCAGAGGCATTTATACAATATACAAGCTTTTAATAACAAAAATTTAAAGTTAAAATGTATAAGATTCCATTCAGTTGTTTCCTTTATGTGTATTCTAACAGTTTAGACCAATTAAAATCATAAGTGGAAGTATTGGGTAAATGCCAACAGGACAGCAACCAAAAAACATGTAATGTATAAGTAGACATCCAGGGCTTATCATATGACCTATTTTATTAACACTTTAACACTGGAGAAAACTCCAAGGCTAGGTTATTACAAAACAGTGTTCCAATGACTAACCATTAGGGCATATTTTTTCGATTAAAAATGGAAATAATAACATTATCAATTAGTCAAATTATTTACAATTTCAAAATTTAATATTTTTTAAAGGAATCAATTGAATAGTGAAGATTTATTTTCTTTTTGAAAGTTAGTTCTTCCTATAATTTTATATATGTCAATTATAAGTAAAAAGTGTCCTGATGTTAAAGATAAAAGTGACTGTTTTTTTATAGTTTGTTCTTATGTTGTGCCATTAAACAATGGTCCATGGGTAGGGGATGGTTGAGTCTACAAACATGTTTAACCCCATCACATTCTTTATGTGGTTGTCCCTAGTAAAGAGCCTGAAGTTCAGCGGTTGGCATTGTCTATCCTATCTGTTTTCCATTTATTGTTGTAGCATTAGTGAGATAGTCATGATAGTAAGTTTTCTCAGTTAAATTGTTCACATTTTGTCATGCTAGGTTCTATTAAAGCTTAATATCTAGTATGGGTTTTGCTCAATGTTGAAAGCCATACAGTCACCTAAAGTTGTTACATCCTTGTCCTTTTGTTTCAGGTGCATTTAAATTTGTCCAATTGGCAATCATACAACATCTCATTATTTCTATATAGACTACAAAAATGTGAAATACATATCAAGATTTAAATTTGTATCATGTAACATTATTATTAGTATGGTAAGGAAAGTGAAGGTCCATGCTTCTTACAAACAATTCCAGAAAAATTTAATGCTAAAATATTTTCTTGAACACAAAAACAAGAAATGCTTTAAATGTACGTTCAAAGAGTAAAGGTTATAATAAAAAGTGTTGTGATGTCAAAACTAAAAATACATCAAGTGTAAAAGAATATTAAAACTTAATTTGTGGTTTTTTTCAAGCACATGAATTGCATCAAACTTAATCAATCTACAAAACAAATGTGAAGCAGTCAAAGCAGTCTTCAAAAGAATACATTAAAACAATGAGATTTGATTTAGGAGAGTTGAGAACTCACGATATTAGTCTTCTTCTATAATAAATACAAGATTAAGAATGGATTTGTTATTGTAAGGAAAATATATATATAAAGAAGTATGTATGCCTTTGCTGATCTTTCCAACCTATTTTTTTCTCCATATCAATACTGACTTTTAATAATAATTTTGCAATGTGACATGAATTTTATTCTTCCAAGATGTAAGAATGACAAAATTCAAAGAAACACAAAATTTAGATGTGATCACTAGGCTAACTAGCCATAACTGAACTTATTTCAGGTTGCAACCTGTAGCTTACAAACAAGTGCCGTGACCTATGCTTTTCAGTATATTTTTGAAAATAACACATATAAACTACATTTTAGCAAGGTAATAAAAAATTTCTGTCTTTATTCTAGTTACACCCATACTTTCTTAAGTGTCAATTATGGTAAAGTGTACTGTATTGTGACTTTTAATGCATAGTTTTATTTGAAATATCAGAAGTTGATACATTTTGTTAAATGAATAAGAATATGAGTAAAATGAGATAAGTCTTGCCTGTACCAGTATGTAATTTTGAAAGTAGAATGCAAATTTTGAAGTTTTAACATGTGAACTGTGTCAAACTTTAAAAGTCAATTGACCATTAATTTACTGAGGGGTGGGGTCAAATTATCTCCATGGAAATAAGATTTGCCAATGCGTATACTACTTCCTAACAAATATCATTGGCTTACCATAAGGGCTTCCCCTTAAAAGACCTTATTTAAAACTCTGCACATATACTACAAAAGTTCAAATTACATGGAATATGACTAAGGGGGCAGGGCCAAATGATCTCCATTGAAATTAAATGTGTAAATGCTAATACAATTGCCTACCAAATATCACTGACTTCTCACTAGTGGTCCTCCTATCAGAGACCTAATTTTAGAAGCCACTGATGAGCACACTTAAGTCTTGCCTATGAGACTTTGTTGAGGCGAGACAAAAGTTACATGTACATGTATAAACAAAGATGGGTACAGAACTTAGAATGTTTTGAAACATGTACATTTTCTCTATGAAAAGGTAAAACACATGTATAAATGTGTGAACACCATATGATTGTTTGATTCATGAACCCCTGATTACAAAACATTGTAAACACAGCCCCCCCTGTGTCAATTTACCTGGGCTGCACATGGTATTTGTGTACTGGTGTTTTTTTAAATATTCATTTGATGTCTTAAAAAAAATCACAATTTTCCCATTTTTTAATAGTCAAAAGTACAAAACCATGTGAGAAAAATTGTCCAAGATTCTTAATACTATGCAGAGAGAATAAACAGTGAATTATTCATTACTGTGTAAGGAAAGTAGGGAATCACATCTAGTCAAACAGAGAAAAACAGACAAGGCATATAACTTACTTTATCTTTTGTCTGGAACAATAATAAAATTTCTGATGAATGCTGTTGTCATAACCTCTTAAGAATACTGTCGATTCATTTTAGTTCGTGGAATAGCAATTTTCATTTAAATTCATCGGTATAGATAAAATACGAATTTAAATGTTCAACAAAGCGCAAATTTTCTAAAGGCTTAGGTTTGTATGCAGACTTTTGCAAAACAATGAAATAAAATATCTATGAAAATACAATGTTTCCTCAATCCACGAAAATTGGTATCCATGGAAAATAAATGAATCCAAAGTAGATAGTTTTCAATAGAAGACATTTCTTTTAAATAAACAAAAAAGTAGAGGAACTATAGCAGCTATAAACTACAAACCACATGAATAATACTAAGCTATACTAGTCTTCATCTCTGATTTCTGTTATTTGTCTTATCTATTACAATTATCAACAACATTAAATCAAACATTTTAAAACCTTATGTATGCATACAAACTTAAAAGGGTTGAGCAATAACTAAACTAATTCAAACAATTACATGTTCATTTGCCTGTCTCAAGTTGGGAGCTATCAATGGATTTTGTTGCCTCTTATTTTTATTTATATCAAACATTTGGTTTTATTGTCAGGTATTACGCTTTGTTAAATTTTCCCTAGCATGTCTACAATAGGAGAGATTAAGGGTTTGTCATTTAGTGTGGGTACTTTTCCATTCTTCAGATGTCTATTTTGATCAACTTGGGTTATTGGTTTGCTGTCTCAATGACTTTTGCCTCACATTTTCTTATATATAAATGAAAAACGTTTTCATGCTCAATATTAGTTATTCTTTTGTGGAAAAAAAATCTTATCAAACTTTTGTCTTTAGCATTGAACATTTTGGTGCAACATATTTTTTTTTCATATAAATTTTTTTTATACAATTTGAATGAGGTCTACATTAGGGAATTTAATCCTGAGTAAACACTAGATACAAAGCTGAGAAAAGAATCAATTGAAAAAATAGTTTCTTTTTCTTATTTCAGATGTTTTTAAGAATCTATCTTTTTATCATAGGGTTAAGTTACAGTTACAACATATCATAAGCTTATTCTATACCTTATAACAAAAGTATAGTTCTAGGACACAGTGATTAATCTAGGCCTAAAACTTATATTCTTTAAATTTATATAACTCTCTTCCCTTTTCTTAAGAATCAGAATATTACGTAAAGAGTAACAGCATTCAAAAACATACTCAGATCATTCTGTCTATTGAATTAGTGTGAGCTTACCTCCCAGCCATTAGATGATTGCTTGGAAAACATAAAGAGTTATCTCACACATAACAAACAAAATTATTGACAGTGTCACGACAGTATCACCTGTTAACAAACTCATCATAGATACCTGGCTGCCACAACCAAAATAAATAATTATTTTAGGAATAAAGGTTCAAAGTTCACATCTTCCTCAATTTAATGAAAATTTCTTTCCCTTTATACTCTAATTTTTAGTAGATAACAATTTATATGATTCATTTGTTTTCCCATATATAATAACACGAGCCTTTTATTTCACCGAAATGTCCTCTACTGAGTGACATACAACTCACTCATTCAGTTATGTGCTCAAGATAATTGTCAAGTTAATTTCCTTCTATTGTCATGATTGTGTTTTTTCGCATTTGGTATAACAATAATATTTCATACAGTTCCGTCAAACCATTCAACCAAAATATGTACATCTATATATAAGAACTATTAAAACAACTTTAAACAATTCCCATGATCTAAAATTTCAGGTCAAAACTAAGTTAAAAGAATAAAGATAACAAATAAAATAATACAATTCTGTTACCATAAGCAAGTTATATATACTTACCAAATGAGTTAATCCAGGAAGCATATCAACTACGCCCATACCCACTAACCTCCCCCATGCAGCGCCTGTTGCTAGAGATGGAATGAAGACACCACTAGATACACTTAGACCATAGGTCCAAACACTCAAGAAATAAAGAACTACAGTGAATACTGCTAAACTGGCTGCACTGTGGGACTCTGAAATGTAAATATGATAATGAAAAAAAAATTACCACCTTTGGGAATGTATTCTCTCTTCCGTGGACATTTATCAATCTTATGTTGATACCAACACTTACTATTCAACAATTCATCATCATCAATGTTTATAAAATAAATTGATGGGAATATACTAAGAGGTTAAATCTACATAAAACCAACAAGATTTTGACTTGGAAAGTTTATCCCAGCTTGACCTTTGACCTCTAACTTTAACTAAATATATGATATGCTCTTCCAGCAAAAACAAGTGAAACTGCTACTGATGATACCCCCACCCAAATATTTCGGTAAACAGGAAGTTGTTGAGCGATGAATCTGAAAATGCATCACACGGTACAGCTGACTTATTTAAACCCTGAAACCAAATTTCAGAAATCCTTGTATTGTAGTTCCTAAGAAAAATGTGAAGAAAATTTTCAACTTAGCTATCATATGTAAAATGATAAAAGTGTTCGGTAAACAGGAAGTTGTTGAGTGATGAATCTGAAAACGCATCACACGGTATAGCTGACTTATATAAACCCTGAAACCAAATTTCAGAAATCTTTGTAATGTAGTTCCTGAGAAAAATGCGACGAATTTATTCATCGGACGGACAGGCAGATTGACGGATGGATGGACTGACAGAGGTAAAACAGTATACCCCCACTTTCTTAAAGCAGGGGTATAAAAAACAAATGCATCATCAGTCCTCATTTTACATACAGTAATGATTAACTTTAACTTAAAATGATTGGGCCAATAATCGTGCCACCATGATTCAGATTTATAACACTAAAAATTTGTAGTTAGAAAACTAAATATAATTTGACTTCAAAAAGCATGCATTTAGTATTGTCCATATATACTGACTAACATACAATGAAAAATGATTTAAAAGTTAAACAACCCATGAATTTGTGAAAAATAGTTCAAAATCTTAATGATGATATTATTATATTTTTGCTACCCCTTATCACATAAGATGAACGGTTGTTACTTAACATCATTGAGCTGAATTGAAAATTAAAAAAGTATATGCATGACAAGGGTGTTCAGTATGCAATATTAACAGACAGATACACACAGACTCCAAAGACAAAAAACTTTATTGCTGAGGGATGAAATGGAGAATATCTTACATTTCCAGCAATACATTTCATGGCATTTGCTTACCATATGGATCATGAAGCAGTGCTTTCAGACAGCCTTCTGGTGTGTTAAGAAACAGGTTAGATAACCCATGATGTTGACCTGGTTTACAGTTCATCTAAAAAGAAAACAAAATGACATTGATCTCTCATTAGAAATGAAATCATACAGAAATTAATGAAGAAACAGATGCCCAAGCTTGAAAATATACAGACATATCTCAAGAAAGGCGAAAATGACGCCACCCAAATTTGAACTTGACATTGTGTATAAGTTTAATAACATTTGGTTGAGGCAAACTAAAGTTAGAGAACGGAAACTAATTTCGGGACATACCTATGGACGGACGTACAGACAGCCAAGGGTAAAACGTAATGCCCCCTCCGCCAAGGTGGGGTCATAAAAAAGCATTTTTGTTTGATTTACAGACCAAACTGAAAACTGGCATGTCAACAAGGGCTCTGCTTGCACATTGGTGTGTGAGGCAAATAAACAAATAATTCATACTCCAGGAATAAATTTGGAAAAGCATGTTATGCCTAAACATCAATTTTTGTTGAAATCCTAGCATAACTAAACGTATCTCAAAATTTGTAATTTTCTAACTAAATTATTTTAATTATAGTTTTAACTGCAATATAGTCTCCCAATGTTCCCCAAAAAAGTGAAAAACGTACATTCAATTGAAGCACAACAACTATACAAATTTCATCTGCATCCTATCCTCACTTTTGGGAGTTTTTACATTTACCAAAATTGTTCCTCATCCTCAATGTGGGCCCTTAAAAGCCCCTCAAATGTAACCTCTCCATCATATTCAATTTTCCCAAGAATCTTTCTCAACAACAGACTGCTTATTATCTCAAACACCATTATGCCTTGAAATAAGCAAATGCTGGTAAACAACAACAGCTAAAGGTACATAAACATTTTGAATTAAAACACAACAGTACTCTGTATTGATGATTACCCTTGCTGTTACAGTGGTATTTCCAAATGGTTTTGTTGCTGTACAGTCATCTACACCAACCATCAATATAAAGGCCAATAATGCAGATACCATAGCAACAACGCCTGCCTCTATTACCTTCAGCCATTTCTTTCTTATAAACCTATTGAGAAAATATATTTACATCAGATATATATAGATTCTACCACTGCATCAAGTGTGATACGATATTTATCCACTCGAGACAGTTAAATTTTCAAATTTAAAACGCGAGGCTCGCCGAGCGTTTTAAATATTTAAAATTTAACTGTCGAGAGTGGATAAATATCGTATTACACGAGATTTGGTGGTGGAATCTGTTTCTCTAATGATTTTAAAACAATATGCAGGCAAACTTATTCCTTCTTTTTGAATGATCTGCAAAAAGATGTGTTCTTTCTATGTGACGTTATCAGGAATGGTCGCCTTTTTTCATGCCGTCACAATAGGAAATTCAGAGGAAAGCAAGAAAATTCGACGTCATAATCAGATTTCAACCAATGAAGAACTGAGATCAAACGAACCACACGTTGATTAAATTTTTTTTATACAATGGGTGCAGAAAGGGATAAATTGACGAAGAATTAGAGAAACTTGAGTATGGAACATTAAAATCTGAAAATCAAAAAAGGTCTGCAAATTGCTGGAATTGTTCTGTAGTCATAAGAAGTCTTTAAAATCTTAAAAGGATTGGTCAACTTGCAAAGAAGATCTGTTGGTTTGAGTTTTCACTAGTTTCTTTTCTAACGATCATATATATAGAGTAGAATTTCAGGCCATTGCTTAGCTATAACCATTTTTTTCTGCCGCTTGTCAATTTATAACAAATTGGTTAGTTTTGTTTTCAGCAAATTGGGAAGACTTAATATTTTGAAGTTCTTTTTGTCGCTCAACCAACACTTGGTAACTTACCTTTGTCTAAACACTGTTAGTTTGTAATTCAGAACAACAAATGAGGCACCAAGTAATCCACCTGTAGATATATAGGTATAGATTCTTTAGAAATAGATGAAATAAATATGTTGGGCATAAAATTTTAAGATAAACATTTGAAAGTCAAAACTATAAGTAAAAAAGCATATTTTCAGAGTGCAATTTAGCTGTAAATTGTCCATCTCTAGCTGATGTCTGGGAGGAATTTTTAAATGTTTGGAAAATGAAATTAATATACAATCTTCACATTAAAGACCAAGTCCTTGTTTAAAAGCTTTCTTAATTCCAAAACCAATCCAGAATTACATCATATTTTACATTGTTGATCAACCATTAGATGATGAAATGGATCAGTTTGACTAAATTTTAGTACATTTCTTATTCTCATAGACCTGCTTAATTACCATGTGACAATGTTTCTCACTCCCTTGTAGTTCTTGTTCAGAACTTAACCTGAGTCTTTGATGAAAAAATTGTGTTAACCCAATTTTTGTTCAGACTTTTATGAATGCGAAAGTCCTGTCTGCTGAAGAAATATCCTACTCCTATGACAAATGGTTACTTAAATATAGAACTTAACATAAAACTTAATACAGTAACATTGCATTTAATCATGAAAGATTCAATTATTTTCGTGGGTACTCATTTTCATGGATTGAGGGAAAATGTATTATATTTGTGGATATTTGATATCGTGGTTTTGCAAAATCTTGCTTAGATACCTGAAGAAAATTTATATTCGTTAAATATTTACATGAAATATTTGCCACTGGAAGTTAAGCATCCATCAATCAATCTCATACATCATATACAAAGGGATTTTCTTGTGTCTTTTCAATATACTTACCAACAACTGCCATGACGACAAAGACTGGAATTTCTATCAAATCAAATTTTAAATCCTGAAAAATGAATTTTATAAGTTCTGATTAATTTTGCTACCATGCACTAAAGATCAACTCAATTTGTAAGAATATAATGTTTTTTTCTTATAGTGAGAACAGGACAACAACACAAAATAAACCATGCATAGAATGAGCACTAAATAAATTGGACCCACAGCTTGTAGCACACCCTTGGTCAGGGAAAATAACTTCAACTCATTTTTTTTCTGTCTAAAGGTCTTACCCCTTTCTACTTCAGTTCCTTAACGACAACGAGGGGGGTTTTTAACGACCTTGACTACCCATGAGGGTCTGGAGTACCTTAAGATTCCCATTTCTACACACACAAAAAATTCATTGTATACTTTATTGTAAATGCAGCATTATAGGTGTAGCAACACCTTAGAAATATTTTTGGTCCATAATTCTATATTTGATACATACCATTGTATGCATCTTTTGCCATTTATATGCTTAAATTATTTGCTTATGGGGCCATATTCTTACAAAATGAGACAAATAGGAAAATGAAAGATAAATGAACCCTGTTTTTATTTAATTTTGAACTTATTTTATGGTGTTTTTTTAACAGTAAAAAATGATTTAAATAAATTGCTTCGCCGAGCGCAGCTAGATACGACCTCAGAGGTCCAACCCTGAACAGTTGGGGCAAAAATGGACACAATATTCGCGCTTGATACAGGTCTGAATTTGAATTGTAATTAAATATTTGACACATTATAGGTTTCTGACACAGAATAACTGTAGTCAAAGAACTTAGAATTGGTTATATGATTTGAATATATATTCAATTTTTTGCTTTTGTGCAATACACTATGCTGTTGCAAATTGACCCCCCCCCCCCAAAAAAATAAAAATTTACACCCCTTTTTTTTTGCTTTTGTGCAATACACTTTGCTGTTACGAATTGAGCCCACCCCCCCCAAAAAAAAAAAAAATTTAACCCCCCCCCTTTTTTTTTGGCAAAAAAAAATATTTGAAGAAATTTTCTTTTTAATTTCTGAAATCTGAATCAAGATATAGTCATAATCTCATTTCAAATTTCCAATGGAGTTTGCAACCATAATTACCCATTTAAATACATCATAAAAGTCTTAAAATAGAAAATGACATACATAATCATGGCTAAAATTAATATTCCTTAATCAGCATTTTAAAATAATAACTTCTAAAAATAAATTGACTGCTAATCACCTCAAAACAATACAACATTTCTTTATACATAATTTAAAAGCAGTGTAAGGGAGGTAATCCAAACATAACATTGTACTTTTATTTAATTGTCCATTAACCAGGAAAACCTTGTTTTTCCCCCTTTTTTGCCCCTAATTCCTAAACGGTTTGAGCCATAACCCCCCAAAGCCAATCCTAACTATCCATGTGTGGTTTTGAAACTTGTGGTATAATTTCAGATAGATCCATACACCGTTCCACAAGTTATTGTCTGGAAACCAGAAAAATGCTTATTTGGGCCCCTTTTGGCCCCTTATTCCTAAACTGTTAGGACTATAACCCCCAAAATCATCCCCAACCTTCCTTTTGTGGTTATACACCTTGTATTTAAATTTCATAGATTTCTATTTATATTTACTAAAGTTATTGTCCAGAAACCAAATGTCTTCGAACGACGACGACGTGATACCAATATTCGACTACAAAATTTTTTGCAGTCGTATAAAAATGATAGCAGTGTCTTTGACATGTCTAAGAATTAACACAGGAAATATTACTGAAAAAGTGCAGGTACAATTTGTTTAATTTGCATTTATTGTTCAAAAGAAATACACTACAAATTAATTGTGTGATCAGGCCATATAAACTTAAACTTACATTATCAAAAACATTAAATCTAACTAATCCAGGGGCTGACAACTCTGTAGCATGACCATGGAATGCACCCAACAAAAAGTTTGTGGCAAATGTTGATACCATGGCACCAAAAAACTGAAAAACAAATGAATGTTATTATGATTAATAATATATTTTAAAGTAGACTTTTTCTTGTTTTTATCAATAACATCTTTAAAAGCAACAAAGGATTTGTGTTTCATTTAATATATATAATTTTCTGATTGAGATATGAATGCATATCACATTTGATAATTTTTTAGAATAGATTACCTAATAAAAGAAGAATGTCCCTGCTTGTAAATATATCTCAAATTGAGCAATTTTTCCATTTATAAAGGGACATAACTCAGACTGTGAAAGTGACGCCACTCAAATTAAAAATTGATGTGTGTTTGGTGGTCAAATCACTGCGCATCAGTTTCATAAAATTTGGTTGAGGCAAACTAAAGTTAGAGTTTGGGTACGTACAGGCGTATGTTCATACAGACCTACAAGAGTAAACCTTAATGCCCTTGTTGCCTACTAAGTGGTGTAATTAAAAGAAGGTAAACAGCACCCTTTAAAAATTGCATTCACAGAAAAGAACATATCATAAACTGTTATCACAGAGATATGTCTCGCCTTTTTTAGTAATTTTGATAATGCAAATGTTGAAATTAAAATAGCAATACTTTAACATCTAAGTTATGCAAATATTCAAAGTCAATGAACCATGACTGAAGGTACATGGCTAAACAATCTCCATGGAATGTCAATGAGATGTGCCAATGTTTATACAACTGTATACCAAATACCATTGACTTATTATAAGTTGTTCCCTTTAAACAAACCTAAACACAAACATTAACTTGTAAACTATGTAAAAGTTTCAAAGTCAATGAACCATGATCAGGGATGGGGCTATATAATCTCCATGGAAACGATACTTGCAAATACCAATAAATTTGCATACCAAATATCATTGACTTAACATTAGCAGTTCATCTTAAACTGATCTAATCACAAACTAATACATGTAAACTAAGCAAAAGTTTCAAAGTAAATAGATCATGACTGAGGGGGCGGGGTCAAATATTCTCCATGAAAATGAGATGTGCTAATGCTTATACAACTGAACACCAATTAACATTGGCCTACCACTAATGGTTCCCCTTGAACTGACCTAATCTCAAACTAATACATGTTAACTTAGCAAAATTTTCAAAGTCTATAGACCATGACTAAGGGGGTGGAGCCAAATAATCTCCGTGGAAATGAGATATGCCAATGCTTATACAACTGCATACCAAATATCATTGACCTACCACTAGTGGTTCCCCATAAATTGACCTAATCACAAACTAATAAATGTAAACTATGAAAAGTTTCAAAGTCAATAGACCTTGACTGAGGGGGCAAATAATCTCCATGGTAATAAGATGTGCCAATGCTAATACAACTGCATACCAAATATCATTGACCTACCACTAGTGGTTCACCATGAACTAGACCTAATCACAAACTGATACATTGTTGACGCCGCTGCCGACGCCGGAAACAGCATACCTATGTCTCGCTTTTTGACTCTGTCAAGGCGAGACAATAAAACCACGAAAATTAATTCATCAAGCTTACTGTAAGTGGCAAAACCATGAAAATATTATGCAGTGGATCTTGATATAAAGTTTACAAATTTTACTTTCTTTTGTACAATCTTTTTCCCATTAATTTATCTATTTGGGAGAATGACAATCAACAGATTTAGGAAAATTACTTTAAATATGAAATTTACTTCCAAGGGAAATATCAAAATTTCAGGTTTGTGAAAAAGTTTACTATATATACATTGTCTTGAATGAAATCTGGATAATGAAGATGTATATATGTTCTGTTGCAAAAATTCAACTTACAACTCTCCATGTTAAGTCCTGGTTCCAAAAGCTGGCAGCCTCTTCTAAACTAAATAATGTTCCTCCCACTGGAGCCCCAAAGGCAGCTGATACGCCAGCTGCAGCCCCACCAGCTACAAAATCTCTGATCTCATGATCATTCCTAAATCCATCATATAACTGAAACAGTTGTATAAAGTACATTTACTTATATCTGGAGAAATAGACATGTACTTGAATTTGATATTTTGATTTTTTCCTATTTTAATCTTATCAAACATCAATAAACAGCTGCGCCATGAGCGCATGATACGCCCGTCGTCTTGTGTGTGAATTTTTATGCAATAAGCATAAATAGTTTCTGACATACGGCGTGACATGAGAAAACCCCCTTTTTTTTTTTACAAAAAACTCAATTTCTCTAAAATAAAATTTTGAATCAAAACCAAAAAGTATACAGATCTTTAGATTAATATAACTAAGAAGTGTGTAAAATTTTAAGCAATAATCATAAATTGTTTTTGAGATACGGTGCGACATGTGAAAACCCACCTTTTAAAAAAAAAATCAATATCTCAAAAATAAAATTTTGAATCAAAACCAAAAAGTATACAGATCTTTAGATTAATATAACTAAGAAGTGTGTAAAGTTTTAAGCAATAATCTTAAATTGTTTTTGAGATACGGCGAGACATGTGAAAAAAAACACACACCTGTTTTAGTTACTAAGTCCCGTAACTCAAAAAGTTTTAATCTTATTTTCACCAAAAAGTATACAGATCTTTTGACCATCATAAGAAACAACTATGTTAAGTTTCATGAAATTTGGATAAGTCATTCTCAAGTTACGGTGCGACATGTTTACGCCGGACAGACAGACGGACGGACGGACACCAGACATTTGTATACCATAATACGTCCCGTCAAAAATTGACAGGCGTATAAAAATACATAACTGTTGATCCTATTCAAATGCAATTGCTAAATTGCATGGTTCAATGAATTTCTAGATAATCAGAAAGATTTTCTGCAACTGTCCATAGCATCCTTGCAGGTAAGCTGTGGATTTTAACCCCTTAAACCAATCAAAAGATTACAAGCAAATTGTATTAGAATTTGCCTTTATACCTGATTAATTCCAAAGTAATAAATTTAACTTATATTTCCTTCCTGGAACTTACTGATACAAATTCCCCTGACAACTTTGCCCTCACAGCAATATTATTTTGAAGTAAATTTAATAAATCTTGCTGATTTCAATTTGCCTTTATACCATTAGAATTTTGCAGTAATCAAACAAAAAGTGCAAGGATTCATATCAATTTAAAATAAGGTGAGAGCTTTTGCTCTGTTTTGCAAGTCTCAATATGACTTTGAGATAAAGAACACCAATAAAAGCACTGTAACTTTGCTTTTGGTTTCATTAAATGCATTGAAGGGTGTCATGAATTAATACATCATATCCATTCCAACCCATAATTGATATAAATTTGCTTTAACAACAATATATTTCCTCAGTTATAAAACATACTGATATAAGGCCACCCTTAAAAAATTATTTGTTTGATGTTGCCTACCCATGCCTTGTAGGGTTAAGTAGGCAGGTAGGGATTTTTTTTTTTATTTTGCCAACAACATAAGTAACATGTTAAGACAAGAAAACAACGTTAGAGCAGGAAAAATTCTTTTAAAAAAAAATTGAAACGATATGTCATAAAATTTTTTTGGTAGGCTGCTTTTTAGGTGGGTAGGTAGGCAACATCAAACAATGTTAATTTTATTTTTCACTTATTCTTGGTTTTATACAGGTACAATACACAGTAGTATATCTTACCGAAATACCTTTGCCTTTACAGAATCTAATTCTTCCTTTACCTAATCCTGCTGCTATGATTCCACCTGAGTGTGCCATGGGACCTTCCTGTAATTATAGGTAGCATTTTGATTGGTCTGTACATTAATATTATCAGAAACATCGGATTCACATTATCATTAAAGCTTTAAATAACTTGTACAAAGATATGTATCACCATTGACTTACCATTGGAGATCCCCCTTAAACTGACCTAATCACAAACAATAACAATTGTTGAAGCTGACACTCCACTTCCAATGCTGGAAACAGTGGGCTTATGTCTTGCTATGGTGACTTTTTGAGAGGTGAGACAAAAAATTTAGTTACATCAATTAAAGATGTGTGTTGGTGAAAATGCTTATTAACTTCTAGCATGTCTGTAAAGTGGTCAGTGGATTGGGTTGAATATCTACATCTTTTATGACAATTTAGTTGTATGGCTTATTGCAGCTTCTTGAAAATCTTAATGCAATATTCAAATTTACCTAATAGTTTCCCAGTTAAATTTTTTGGTAATTTTATTTCATTGTTAATACTACAAATATGCAAATCTAAAAATGTCACAAATAAATTACAAGCTCAGTTACAATTAACAATGGCCTCATAATAAACAGTTTAGGAACATTTTACAGACAAAACATCAAATACAACCATTAAACAGTAAACCTAAAACATGCATTATTTCTCTATTATTGCACTTTCAAGTTGCATTTAACTTTCTTAATGAAAATAAATAAATTGATGAATACTCTAATTATCAACATGATGGCATTATTTATGTAAACTGATTTGAAACTGATAAAAAGAAAGATTTTGAAGAAGAGATAATACAAGAGTATCAAGATTACTTTTATCTTCAAATGAATATAATAAATCCAAGAATCTTTTTTCAAGCAATGAAATAAATGGAATTTTCCATATTTTTTTTTTATCAAACTCTACATTAAACTGCATATGTTTCTAGCCTTATGCTTGCTAAGAAATAGACTGCTTAAATTAGCATCTGAAAATAAATTGTAGTCCAATTGTAAGCTAACATGTGGCTGAATCAAATAAAAGCATGCAGGAAATAGTATTTTATCTTCTTATATATATGATAATGATGAAAGTGGAAATGTATTTGTAGTGCAAACTTATATAAGTCTTATGTATATATTTATAAATTATTACACATTAATGTAGGTCAAACCATTTTAACTCCTTCCAGTGAAAATTAAGGAATCTTTTTGTTTAATAACTGAAACCATCTTTTAGCTGTTACTATAATTCTTTTGTAACATTACATGAAATATGTAATTTGCAATCCTAATGTACCTGTTAAATTGTGTAAATTATATTTTGAATAGGAATGATCCATCTGCATGTATGAAAACTTTGAATTTTAGGCTTTGTTTTCTTGACCTTTCTTAATAAAAATGATGTCACAGCTTGCATTACATTCAAATCCAGGTAAAGGTTTATAATGGTCAAGAAATGGACCGTTTAAGCATCTCATCTTGACATGCAACTACCACCACCAAAATTTCCTTCCTCATAGAATGATATAATTACATGCAACATGAACTGCTACAATAAAAACAAAGTACACCTATAATTTTTTATAATTTTCTTTGCAGGTGTACCAAAAATTGTGAATACTCGAAGAATTATGATAAATTTCAAAAGCATCTTTTATAAGATTATAAATGTATTTATATTCTATATCTATAGTAGCTTCTCCCTTTTCAATCATTTTTATTGAGTATTCTTTAAATTATAGATACCATGGATATCTTTTTCAATATTCCACAGCAACAAGAGATATGAAATATATGAGTGACCTCTTGTTGACCAGATATACAAAACAAAATGGACCCTCTCTAGGATGTATTTTATATATTATATAACATGTAATGGATATTAAGAATACATCATGACTTGGGAAACAATGAAAATGTTTGATACACTGTACATAGTTATGGTAATTACCTGTAAATAATATAAAAACTAACATACCTCAGGTAAAATTCAATGGCAGTCTAAAAATAAGTTGTGCATAAAAAACTGATAATGAAAATTAAAAAATAAGAAAATAATGCTAAATGAAATATGAATAAATAGAGAATGTGTCCATGGGACAAAGATGATGCCCCTTTTGCATATAACGTCATAAAGGGGCATAACTCGAGAATGGTAAAAGTGATGCCACCCAAATTCAATTGATCTGTGTTTTGTGGTAATATGCATTGTGTATAAGTTTCATCACATTTGGTTGAGGCAAACTAAAGTTAAAGAATAGAAACCAATTTCAGGACGTATGGACAGACTTATGTATAGATAGACGTATGGACGGACGGACAAGGGAAACACTTGATGCCCCCTCCAGTGATGGCAGGGGGATAAAAATGGTTCATTCACACTCAGATATATGAAGAAAAGGAGATGAGGGTGATACACTAAAGAAACAGCACCCAAAACACAAATGACCAAAAAAACATCAAGGTCATGTGGTATATTTTAACACCAGGATCATCCACATAAAAACTATATCAACTTTCTCTATCAATTTGCAATGTCAAACAGGAAAAGTTCATATAAAAGTCAGTATTTTTTCTATACATCAGATCACCCCATGTCCATTCTAATTTTCAATTTGGCCAGTATTAATGACATGTATTACTGTTCAAGTTTCTTGACTTGAATATTCAAATTGTGTATCAATGAAATTAACACAAATATAATGGTCCAAGAACTCACCACAACAGACCACCTGATTAGAGACTAAAAAATCATCCCTACAACTTTGGCAAACATCAATAGATTTGTCAAAATTCAGAACAATGTTGATTTCAGTGTTATGAAAAAATATAAACAAAATTAACCACATTATCTTATATTAACAACCAACATTTAGAATACTCCTAAACATAGCCTTCAGCAGCATACTAGATTGAAGACCTTACACTTAAAAACTATATTATGAATGAAAATAATTAACCTGTATGGATTCACAACCAACAGTCATTCATTTCAGAAAGAAACTTAATGCAGTTTTCCATAGATAAACATTAAAGATGCATAAGAAAAGATTTCAACACCAACCACAATCATGCCAACTAAGAATATGTGTCTTAAGGACACCATGCCTGTACACAAGCTCACACAATGAACCATGAAATATAAATTCTGGATAAAAAATTTAATTTGGAATACAATTCTAAAAGTTCACCCCATAGTGCACATGAGTATTAAGTTTCAAATTGATATGACCACTACTTTATAGTAAACTATTTAACAAATAAAAACTTTAACTTGAGAATGTACTGGTTTAGCACTATCATATTTCTAGTTTCAGTAAACTGGGAAATATGGGTATAAACCATAATTTTGCATATAAATTAAAAACTTTCAATTTGATATGACCACAACTTTATTATAAACTACCTTAAACCATAAACCTACAAACAAACAGACAGACAGACAGACAGACAGACGAAATAAATGACAAACGCACTGACCAGAAAACGTAATCATAAAAAATTCACATTCTACAGGTCTTAGGAATCTAGCATCTAAGATTATACTGCAGGGTGAAAAATAAAGCAATTTATGTGTACAGAGTAACTCCATTGAGCAGTACATGCAGAGAAGGGAAAATAAAATTTGACTTGAAAAAGCAGGAAGACACATTTGGTGACCTACTTCTTGAAATAACACCTACATGCTGCAAAATGTGAAAATCCATGCCTGCAATATTAAACAGTTTATTAAGTGACATAAAAAGAAAATCAGGGCTTATAAAACTGGTGTAAACATTCAATATAATTATATTCTGGACGATTCAGTTTGTTATAAACATGAGTAATTCTTTTTTATCAAATGTGACCTCTATTAAAAAGAGAACAGAGTAATTCTTCTGAACTGGACTATTTATTCTCAATAATCAGAAAACTGGCATAATCTTGAGTTAAATTTTGTAGTGCCCATATTCAATTAAATGTATAAAAAGCTAAAGAATTAACATAAAAATGGATATAACCTTATTTAAGAAATGAACAAAGGATACAAAGCTGTTCTCTGTTTGAAATTTTGAACTTACAACAATTATTCTAAAGGTTTTTGCAAAGACTATTAAAGCAAGTCTGATATTATGATATCCTCTCAACTTAACATATTGCATAAAGGTATTAGAAATGTACTTTACTGGCAGTAAAGAAAATTGATGTTTTTATAACTTTCAATGGAAAATAAATGATTAAAAGTCAAAAGAAGTTTTCATTTGCAGTTTTCAATGTAAAATAAAAAGATTTTATAAGCATTACATAAAAAAGAAATACAGTAACAAAATCATATCATTTGTATCAAAAGGAAAAACTTAAGTATATAAATATTTTTTCCAGATAATCCAAAACAGCAAGTGTAAATTGATAAAAGAACAGAGTTCCAATGTTCCCCGCATTTTATCTGTCCAAGGGCAATTTCTAAAAAAAACTTCTTTAAAATTTTTATAAACATCTTAGAGAAATGAAGGCTTGAGAGAAAATGCAATGCAATTTCCAATATAATTATTTTCCAAGGAGCATAACTCTTTTTAAAATATTTGATAGGCATCAATTTTCAAACTGGTCTAAGACATTGCTTTATAAACCTTTTATATAAATTTGATAAAAATCAGGCAAAAATTGTACAGGTGAGAGCGCTTACAATGCAAATTTCCATATAATTAATATTTCCAAGGGGCATAACTCTTTTAAAAGTAATTGATCAGCACCAATTTTTTGTACTTGTCCAAGACATTGCTGACATAAACCTATGATATAAATTTCATAAAAAAATCTGGCAAGTATATGTACACATGAGAGCGCTAATAATGCAATGATCCATACAATTAATATTTCCAAGGGACATAGTTCTTTTAAAAATTGTTGATCGGCACTGAATTTCAACATTGTCAGAGACAATACTGATACAAGTTTTATAAAAATCTGGCAAGAATTGTACATGGGCGCACGCTAACAAGACCGGATGGACGGATGCCCATTATTTCTATGTTGTGTGGTGGACAAAAAAATTATATTAAAAACACTTTTCTAGTTTGTGTCCGATTTGTACTGTCCTTTTTAATTCAATTTGTTCCAAAACACAAAGTCATGGATATCCTCAACCAATAATAGCCAAAACTCTTAGACTGGTATACATATATACATAAATAAAAGTTTTAGCATGCTAAAATTAAATTTGAAGCAAAATACACAGCACACTTAAACTGCTGTTAATGTTCAAATAATATAAACTGCAAACAAACTACAACTTATGTCAACTATTTAATCGTACCTTTCCACAAAACAGACCACCTAGTATGGAGAGGACAACACCGCCAGATTTAGCCACAAAACATTTAAATGACAACAGTCCTGGTATCTTGACACCATTTAAATACGATTTGATTAATGGAATACCACTCCCTGCTGCTTTTTGCTGAAAAAAAAATAAAATAAATAACTGATCATACAGAGCATAAAAAGATGATCTTTTGTTTTGTTTTTTGTTTTGCTTTTGTCTTATTTACCTATATATCCCACATCTTGTTTCATCTTAAATTCCAGCCTCTTTTCCTCCATTGTGACATCATCAAGTGAGACTTAACACTTACCATGAGCAACATGATGGGTGCCACATGTGAAGCAATATATGCTTACCCTTCCTGGCCCAGATATCACCCTCCGTTTTTCAGTGGGGTACCAGTTGCTCAGTCTTTGGTTTTTTATGTAGTGTTTTGTAGACTGTTACCATGATTTTGACTCTAAGAGTTTTTATTCTCCCTTTGATATCTTCTGCCTCTTTTGAGTATATTACTGATTGTATGCCAAGCATCTTATTACATTCATTGTTTATTAACTGCTGAACTGACATATACCGGTACTGCATTTTCTATAATTTTGGTTTTTAGACTTTTACAATCACATTGTTGTGGTAAGCATTATGACCCCATCACTTAATTCAAAGTATTGGAAAACAGGTAGTAGGCATCTGACAGATCTGAAAAGCCCTTCTACATCTAAAGTCATCACTGTCAAGCTGCAGACCAGATGTGATGCTTCAGTTTGCCTTTTCTACATAAATTCATTGTAAAATACTAGATAACATTTAACAAGACTGTAATAAATTACAGTTATAATATTACAGCATTATCATCTATAGATGATATGGCAGAAATCTTACACTGCTGTAATCTTTAGATTATTAGAATTGATGTGTTATTTATAAATTTACCAGTAAAAATGTAACAATCTGGTTATTTATAAATTATCCTCTAAAAATCTTATCTTACAACAATTTACTAGTCAGGTTATCCAAGTATTCATAATAATTATGAAAATTTATCTTGAAGGATGATACAGCACTGTTGTTTATGTTAAAACACTGTTTGAAATTGTAAATCACAAGTCACAATATTACAGTTCTATTGTTTATAGACATCGTTTAATATATTACAGTACTGTCGGCCGTTTTTTATCTGAAGGAATGTTACAGCACTGCTACCTACTTTACGAAACTGTCACTGAAATTTAACAGCATTTTTATCTACAAACTGCAAGTTAAAATATTACTGAACTGTTATCTGTAAATTTACCTGTAGGAATGTTACAAGTATGGAAGCTAAACATGTTATGACTAGATTCATGCCCATCCACATAAACACAGGTAAATATAAACAATCATCCTTTGCACACTGATCAAAATCTGGTATATAACATTAAGGTAAATAGTACTAAATGCATAATAAAATGGAAATTCTCAATGCAGATTGTTCTAAGGTCTGAAAATGATTTAAAAATTAATAAAATAACATAGGTAATCCATGGTGGTCTCAAGATGATTGCATCCCTATATAAACCTTTTAACTGTAGGTAAGTCATCCGAGAACTGATCTTGTTATACTAGGTCTATGCAGTATAAATTGAAGATCAGAGTGACTCAATTTGATAATTTTAGAGACTTGATATAAGTCAATGAAGTGTGAAATGTAGGTATTGATGGCCAAATTTTGATGAGAGGCAGTTATGCTCCATGTTACTCAACAAAAATATTGCAGGTCATCCAGTATGTCAGAGCTGATCTTGGAAACTAAAACATAAGTCAATGAAGCATGAACTGTAGGTATGAGTGATCGACTTTAAATAGGAGGCAATTATACTACCAATGATCTGACCTTGCACAAGTAATAGATTGTAGGCCACATAGTATCTCAGAGCTGAACTTGAGAACTGATGTTTACATGTTATAATTACATTAGATGTATGTTTCATTATTATACGTTATTTTGATTGGCTAACAGCAATCTCGCGTCATTCTTCATTTCAAAATTCATAGGGTTGTAAAAGCGTTGACCGAAGTACATTTTGTATGAAGCGCTTCCACTGTAATTTACAAAAAGAAGCATTCAATTCTTAAATACTTTGGTTTCTAGTAGATAGTTGTCTCATTGGCAATCATACAACATCTCCTTATTTTTACCAATAAAACTATAAACATAAGTCAATGAAGCATGAAGTGTAGATATGGGTGACCTACTTTGAATGAGAGGCAGTTATACTATCATGATCTACCCTTCCACAAGTAATCAGATTGTAGACTACATAGTATCTGATCACTGAAATCAAAAGACGACTACATGTCAATGAAATGTATGTTAAATAGACATCTTTCATGGGAGACTGTTATAATCTTTAAGATATATCAATGATCTAAGGAACTTAACTCATATCATATAAAGAGCTCCGCAGGGCGCAGCTTAATACAACAGCAGAGGTGAACAGTTAGGGCAAGTATGGATGCAACATTCAAGCTTGAAACAGCTCTGAATTTTGATTATGATTAAATATTTGACACAGCATAGGTTTCTGACACAGATTAACTATTGTCTATGTCAGGAGCCTATAATTCAGTGGTTGCCGTATATCATATTTTTTTTATGTTCATTATTTTGTACATCAATCAGGTCATTAGTTTTTTCGTTTTAACTGTTTTACATTTGTCATTTCGAGGCTTTTTATGGCTGATTATGCGGTATGGGTTTTACTCATTGTTGAAGGCTGTACGGTGACCTATAGTTGTTAATTTCTGTGTCATTTGGTCTCTTGTGGAGAGTTGTCTCATTGGCATTCATACCACATCTTCTTAATCGTATAATAACTTAAAAATTTGAAATTGGACATTTACCTATTTTGTATTGGTCCAATATCAAAAATCTAAATACATGGTAAGATTCATTTTTGATGAAATCAAACAAAGCTTTATTCTAAACCCTTTGGCCCTCAATGCAGACCAATTTGATAATGGGGCCCAGATTCAAAATACACTGTTAGATTCAGCATATCAAAGAACCTCAAAAATTCTATTTTTGTTTAAATCAAACAAAGTTTAATTTTGGACCCTTTGGACCTTAATGTGGACCAATTTGAAATCTGACCAATAATAAAAAATCTAAATACACAATTAGATTTGGAATATCAAAGGATCCCAATAATTAAATTTTTGACGAAATCAAACAAAGTTTAATTTTGGACACTTTGGACCTCAATTTAGAACAATTTAAAAACAGGGACAAATTTTCTAAAAACTAAATACACAGTTAGATTCAGCATAATAAAGAACCCCAAGTATTCAAGACTTTGAATTAAACCCCACTGAAATTGGTAAAGAAATAAGCAATTTACATATAGTATTAGAAAAGTGTTGTTTTTGGCCCCTTTTTCCTAAATGTTTAGGGCCACAACCCCAACATCAATCCCAACCTTCCTTTTTTGGTATGGAGCCTTGTGGTACAATTTTTAGAGATCCATAGACTAATATTCATGTTATTGTCCAGAAACCAGAAAGTCCTCATCATTTTGCTTTTTGGCCCCTAATTCATAAACAGTTTGAGCTATAACCCCCCAAACTAATCTCAACCTTCCTTTTGAGGTTTTACTTTAGTTTATAACAAGTTTATTTGCTCAAAGATACAAATAGGATCCGACACAAGTTTAAGCAACTTATGAAGTCTTCTCCTTTACATAATATAATTACAATTACAATTATTATACCTTACATATATTTCAAACAATTCTATTGGGTAAAATGTTCACGTGACATGGAATAATTCAGTTAATTTTCATTCAATTGCAAGGAAGAACGAATAACCCTAAAAATTTACACCAGTGTTGAATAACCCTATTATTCACCGGCGAATAACCATTTTAGTTTGTTGATTTGTACCCATGAAAATGACGTCACAGACGTAAATAAACAAAATGGCAACGTTCAAGTTACAGGAAGCCCATTGATCGAGAGAAGAGGTAATAAGGCTTTTGATGTGCATCTTGTGCTGATGATATCTCTAATAACGGTCCTTTTCAAGGCCATCAATATTTTACAAAAAGAATCTACCTTCGTTGTACATACGAGAATTCTAAGACACAAATTACATGTATTTTTAACATCAACTTGTGTTTGTTACTGACTCAAGTAAGGGTAAGTGCTATTACAATTATTCAAAAATGCCCTTCCACTGTTAGTTCGGTATAATAAAACAATTGTGGCCCCTTAGAAGCGATGAATATCCAAAACTGTTAACTCTTAAAAGTTATTTCACTTCCGGCTGCGCCCTCAGTGAAATAACCTTCTCGTGTTGACAGTTTTGCATATTCACCTTTTCAACGGGCCATAATTGTATATTATACAGAGCATGCACAGTTCAGTAGATCTATCTTAAATGTAATATCAAAATGGGGCATTTGCACAGTCTGGAAAAAAAATCTAACACAATTAACAAGAAAAAGAATAGAGAAATAAAAAAAAAATAAAAAAGTCAATGAACCATGACTGAGGGGGCAGGGCCAAACAATCTCCAAGGAAATGAGATGTGCCAATGCTAATACAACTGCATACCAAATATCATTGACCTACTTCCACTGGTTCTCTATAAACTGACCTAATCACAAACTAATACATTGTTGACGCCACCCCCGCCTCTGCCCCCGATACAGCATATCAATGTGTAGCTTTTGACTCCATTATCGCCAGACAATACACTGTTGACACAGTGATATGTCTCGCCTGTTGGCAGAAAATTTGAATAAGACAATCTGATGGACACCAACAATGCTAATTAATTAAAACTGCTTGACCATGACCTAGGGGGCAGGTCCTGGAAAGGGTCGACAAACTGAGATGTAATGATAGTAATGTCACTTTATAAAACATATCATTGTCTATCATAAGTAATTCCTATCAAACTAACTTCAGCAGAAAACTTAACATTGAAAATTGGTAATTAATAGAAAGTCATTGGACCATGACTTACGGGGTCAGGGCCTCAATATTGTCATCAAACTGATATGTACTGATAGAAATGTAACTTTATAGAAAATATCATTGATCTATCACTAGTATTATCAAACTAACTTAAACAGAAAACTTAACAATTTTTATGCCTACGAAGACAAAACTGCTCGTCGTTTGAAAAGCACTAACTAAGTCTCCCCTTCTAAAACTTTCTTTGTTGTCTCTGAAGTTACTAAAATAATAGTTTTATTCTTTGTATTTTTTTTCATATCTTTAATTTCTGGACTGTGGTCAATTTTTTTTTCTTTGCTTTGTGTCCTCATAATGCTATTGGTTCCAAAAGGATACAATCACTGAGATATTTAAATTTGATATGTGATATTTCTTCTACAATGCCATGAATGGCTGCTGCTAATAGAGCTGTTAATAAACCAATCCCTAACATAATAATCCATTTACTAAGCCAACCAAAAGTCACCCATCTCTGTAAACAGAAATACATGTTACATTATCATACATTTAACATCACCCATCTCTGTAAACAGAAATACATGTTACATTATCATACATTTAACATCACCCATCTCTGTAAACAGAAATACATGTAACATTATCATACATTTAACATCACCCATCTCTGTAAACAGAAATACATGTAACATTATCATACATTTAACATCACCCATCTCTGTAAACAGAAATACAGGTAACATTATCATACATTTAACATCACCCATCTCTGTAAACAGAAATACATGTTATATTATCATACATTTAACATCACTCATCTCTGTAAACAGAAACACATGTTACATTATCATACATTAATCAAAGAGCTTGATTGCTCTGAGTGATACAATCAACTTTGCTTCCACTGAGTCTGATATAAGTATTCTTTCTCAAAAATAATTCAACTGCACATGTATACCCTATTTGATTCAATATGAATATAGTTTTTCACTTTAAAAAATAACCAAAATAACTAAAAGTTAACAGTAAAAAAAAAACAAACCAAGTCCAATTACTAATAATACACAGACAAATTCAATTTTTTTCTTCTAAATTTTGCTCTGGACACTTTCTTTTGATTAGTACAAGTCTTTTATTCCATGAAGTTTTAACAGATTTTTACCCTTGACTTGAATGTAATAGTCTATCAACAGGTTATCTATTGATGGCTGAGTTCATTATTGATCTATCCCAATTTTTAACAAAACAGAAATAACAGCAAATAAACACACCAGATGATTACTTACATATTAAAACATGTTAAATGAATTTGACTTTTTTAAAAACATTTGATCAACATTGAGCAACAAGTGGTATGTAAGTTTTTTAAAAGCATTGATAATATGGAAGACTCCATTTGGGCTGAGGGGGTGTCCTACTTCTTATTCTATTACCCTGTTAACTACATTTTTCGAATAAATAATGCAACAACAATAACCCTAAATAGCGGATAAAAACACAGAAAGGATCCCTTCAGTTGCAAATCAATCAATGGCGTGGGGAATCCAGAGCAACCATTTATTCTAAAAGCCTCTCAACGTCAAGAAAATTAAGCATGCGCACAACCGTTTGAATTATGTTTTGATTGAGGACAACATGTCAATTGTGGTTCCCCATTTCTTAATGGAAGTTCAATATCAAAGTTTCATTAAGTTACATGATACATGTAGGAACAACACCACTTCAGTACTTATCTGACTGAACATTTTTATTTCTGAACCAGTCTTGTATTTTAACAAAACAGTGGAATTCCCACTCTGATGTGTTGTTAAATTTATAAAATCCTAAATATAGATACTGCTTAATACTGATTTTCCGTATTGTAAAATAAATGCAAATAAAAAAGGGAGTTATCAAAACATGAGGATTATGAGAAGAAAATTAAGGGAAAGTTGTTTAAATTCAATCTGTTTGTTTGTTTGTTTTACTCTTTAAAACTCTTCAGAATCTGAGTTGTTCCTTAATATAAAGCACAACACGGTTGACGTGAGAGCCTTGGAAAGGAGTCAATCCTAAAAGTCTACAGATTGCTAGACAGCAATAGTATCCCAAAAATAACCCATCTCTGAAAAGAAAAATACATATGTTACTGTGATGAAAATTAGCAGGGGTCCAGCAGCCCATGGCCCCAAAAACTTGAGCTGGGCTACTAAGTTTTTCTTATTTTTTGCTTGATCATACAACACTTGGCCACGAAAATTATTAACATGACAGTTTTAATTCCCATCACTGATGTTACATTAACTGGCTAACAAATGTAATTTACACCATTATTTGAGGTATTTTATAAACCGTTAAAATTGAAAATTGATAGCGATTAAAAAATTCACATACAGATGTTGTAAATCTTATATGGGTACCAATAACTGTTAGAGGAATGATCTGAAACACAACACAACCTTTTCAATAGAATGGGTTGAGTAGCTTAACTTCCTTCAGTTGAACTTATTGAGTCTTTTTCCTCAATATTGTAATATGTAACAGCAAAGGTGAACAATTAACTCACAAATAATTAGTTTCTTGTAAATAAGAAATGACACATGTTCAAAATAAAGTAATGAAATGGTTGATTATAAATTCAAATTATTTTAGATAATTTTACATGTGCACACATAGACTCACATTGACTTGTGTTATAAATTCAAGTAAGGTCATCAATTTTCCCATTTTGAATGGTTTCACATTTTGTCATCATAGTGTTTTTCAATTTTGCTATTATTGAAGGCCATACCATGACCTGTACTTGTATCTGTAAACATCCTTACTCTTAGGTTTTTGTAGGGTAGATGTCTCATTGGCAATCATATTACAACTCCTTATTCTTATATTGTGTAGAATTTGTTGAATATCAGGATGTATTGTTTTATTTCATCACGATGATAAACCCAGTATGGAATGATAATGGATGTATTAGTGATAGCAATAGCTCACACTTCCATTTTGAGTTACAGAACACAAATATAAAAATATTACAAATGAAAAATATATGTAACAAAAATCAAGTTAAACAAAACAAACAAACATAGAATAATTTACTTTTACACCTCTTCCACCAAATTCATGATGTATCTAAAAAAGAATGTCATTTCTATATTTCTCCAGGCATAGAATGCCAGCTAGTGAAAACCAAACACATTTAATTTATTTTATAAAGACACTTGAAAACTCTTGTATACATAGATCATAAAAAAAAAGACGATTTAATAATATCCAAAATTTGACTAATTTGTGTGACAAATAGTTCTTTTAATACTAACAATTAGTGAATGAATTAATCAATATAAAATTGATTTGTGTTCTGTTGGTCATATGTCATCCATACCTTTGATCTGTACTGGTCTCTGTTTTTAATATAGAGAACATTTTCACAGATGTCATAATTCAGACTCTGAAAAATAATTACAGAAAAAATAAAATAACTTGATACCATTTCCATTTAGGAATAGATTTCCTGAAGAAAGATATACATACTAAGTTTCATAGTTTCTAAAGAACAGGTCTTTTTTACAGCACTGTGAATTCAATAAATTTGGCATGCATTTTTTATTGCAATTATGGTCTATGACTGAGGGAGAGTAACCCAAATAATTCAGTCCCTAACCGTAATTTATCTCTCTTACTACCAAAATTGATCTCTCCTACTTGTGAGGGCCTGAATTCCTACCACAGTAAAAAGTCTTCACAAATCCTGGATTTTGTTTGGTGCCCAATCAGCAGTCAGCTAAATTTTATCAAGATAGATAAATCCTGAGCTAATTCCAAACGATTGACTGACAATTTTTTCATTGTCTATGCATTCAGGCGTTAATGTAGTAATCGTGGATCAGGGGACTATAACAACTGAATTTTTCGTGTTAGAGGAAGTTGAACATTATATTCAAGTCACAATTTCAAACAAAACCAAACTTTGTCAAATTCTTTAATCTCAAAGACTACTATAAAGATCCATGAACTGAATTGAAGAAATTCATTTGATATTTGTTTGGAACAAAATCTATTATGTGCTACCAATCTTTGTTTACTAACCTCCCATTTTGAAACTAGCCTCTTTCTGAACTTTGGTGCTTCAATCCCATACTGCTTCAGTCTCTTCTGTATATCCTGTAATAATAATTAATGGTACTTTAGTAGAGTTTAATATTTTAATATACCACCAATTACAAGTAAAAAGTTTGTCTTCTTTCGTTATGGGAAAGACTTGATGATGAGGGAGGATTAGAGTTCAAAGTCTAGTGGAAAATATTCATGAATATCATTGATTGATTGATTGTTGATTTACATAAATATCAGGACAAATATTTGTTAATGTGATATGAGTTGTACAAAACAACACCATGAGCTGGACTTTGAACAAGTTAGTTTACAAGGTAAGAGTCCACAGGAAGGCATGTCACCAACCCAGAAACATTATTCCAATTCCAAGCAGAATACTTTTGCTATATTTAATCCACAGTTTCACTTTTCCCAACCTCAATGATTTCTAAAACTTGAGGCAAGCAGGATTATCACGAGTCCATGAAGGCAGAAAGGAGAATTTTACACTTTTACTCGCATTTTGCATTTAAAAAATGGTAAACTGTTCTGGCCATATTTCACATTACTGTTATTTGGTCATTTGTCGAAACACTGAGTTTATATTTCAATCCTATTAAATACAACAACTATAAATTAATTTAACACATTTTCAATATTTGATAAGAATAAAAAACATACTAGGACTTTATATCAAAACATTAACTCTGGAACAACAAATATAAAAATCATAAAAAAGAAAAATTTTCTTCATATAACACAGTTCATGAAATTTTGTAAAAATCTGATAAACAAATTTTAGTTATTGAGAAGCATGCTTGGACAAATGGATAAACAGATGGACAACAGTATACTAAAACACATTCATTGTCAGTGGACAAAATAAATGGAGAATGTGTCTATGGGCACAGATGCCCCCACTTGTAAATATGCATGAGTCAACTTCCACAAGCAAATGCAGGATTCACGTTGTTAAGACCCTTTTGAGATTAAAAGCATTGTGTATAAGTTTCCTAACATATGGTTGACGCAAACTAAAGTTCGAGAATGGAAACCAATTTTGGGGACGTACAGGACAGACAAGGGTAACTAACACTTAATGCCCCCTCGCCAACGGCAGGGGCATAAAAAGTGTTTACACAAAATAAGGTAATAGGACAGTAGAATAATTCTGTATCTACATGTACTAGCATACTTGAATAATGATTTTCATATTTCAAAGGGTAAAACAAACACTCCAAAAAATTATATACAATGCATTGTATTGATTTGTCCCTGGTAAAGTCTGATTACATGAATAATTAAATAATTTACTAAACAATCTTCCATAGACCCAAGTAAAAAAAACTACTCACTCTGAACTTTGAGGATAATAATGCTGTAATACTGTTGTGCGTAAGTGTGTCACTTGTGTCGGCCATTTGACCTTTAAGCTCATTCTCAAACTGCAGAATGGTTGTTTCATCACAAGGGAGTTCATCATGAGCATCATGGTAGGTTTCAGCAACAGGTGTCACTGTAAACTATAAAATAAAATCCACAACAAGGTTATAAATATTAATACTAAATTAATATGATTTCAAGAAAACAGATAGCCCATCTTCAAATTGAATGGTTGGAATATTTTCTATTTCACTGCAGTTGCTTTATACGTGACCTGCATTTCGCAGTTTCAGAATTTAATGCATTCGGAGTATTATATTTCAAAAGCGTACACCAAACCACTGTGATTGGCTTACATACAATGTCCCAAACTATTGAAATTTAACCAATGATTTGACGATATTTTCATTTTGGGGTGCGAAAAAGAGGTTACCCAGGGTCTTTTAGATTCTGCAACGGCGAATTCGGAAAGATTTCCTTTTGGACCTGTTGATGGAATAGGCATAGCCATACATGATGGGAGTTCATTAGGAAGTCTTGCCAAAACATTCTTGTTCAATAAGTATTAGGAAAGGATTAAGCATTTCTAATAAGCACAGTAAGTTGTATGTATGTATTTTCTGACATTCATTTGATACAAAAGATTGTACTTGCTCATGTAGGTCATATAATGAAAATGATGAATAAATTTCTGCAAAAAACAGCAAAGACTTAACTAGACTAGATTAAAACTAAATTATATAACATACATATAATAAAATTTAAATAATGATTCGTTGAAAAAGTCTAAAAACATTAAATCATGGTTTATATAAGAAATAATCCAAAAAATATATAATGGCTAAATTATCACAATAGTGTCCAATTAATCACATTTCAGGTTTCAGAGAAAGAAAATATCACATGACATGTAGCTTTCTTAAATGCTTCAGGTTGTTAAACATGTTAAGTTTGTTTTAACAAGAAATAGCTTTCCAATTTATGTATATATGTATAGATAAATAGGATATAGGTCAGAGAGGTTGATATAACACTCAAACTGTTATCCTGAGAAAAACATTGTACTTTAACCAATTCTATGAACACATGTGTACTTTACAAGTTTTTGAAAAAAAAAAAACAACTTTGACCTTTGACACCTAATTTATAAAATAAGTGCAAGAAATACAAAATGATTAATTAAATAAATGAAAACCAAACCCATTAATTTTGTAGTTTAAACAGAAATGACAAATTAAGATACAAACAACATAATCACTATACTTTTAGCAACCTAAATTCAATAACACTTACAACAAAATCAATGTTTTATCAGTCACTGCAGAGAAACAAAAAACAACACAAAAATTTGATTATATACGAGATAAGATATCTGTCATTCACTATAGATATGAATATTCATGAATCCACACCAAAGTTAAAATTTCATTAGCCACAATTTATATGTAAATAACAGTAATCTGAAATGTTTTTGCTAATTTTATTTCTTCTCTTTCTTTGTGACAGGCAACCTTGAAAATTATATAACTTACAACTGAACAGTTACATCAACATTTGGCTTTTTTTTAAAGCTTCTTTCTTGCAAAAACAAAGCATGCAACATATATTTTTCAAGTAAAAGACGGATCTACTTCATTATGAATGTAAAAAAAGAATAATGCTACAAAAAGAAATTTTTTTTTCAGCATAACCAAGGTGTACATGTATATGCTAACCACAGATTAAAATGTTCAACAAAGTAAAAAAAATTTACAGACTAATGTATGCAGACTTTGCCAAATCAACAAATCAAAGATCTCTAATATACAATTTATCTTTAATCCAGGAAAGTTGAACCCAGAAAAAAATGAAATCCCAGTATTCGTAGTACCTAATTTTGACTAAAAAAGACATACATTGTACTATATTATCCATCCAACTACAAAACCTTGTATTACAGTATTTAATATCATCTGTAAAATAACTATATCTACAAATTAATCTTATGGTAACAATTCTTTTTTGGAATAATTCTGATGATTTCAAAATTTCAAAATTTTGCTTAATGAAGGGAGATAACTCTTATTATTTAGCTTTATAAAATCAAGGATTTGTATATATAGTAAGACTAAACAAATCCTTGATAAAATAATATACTGTAAATTCACTATTTCTTATATGAAGAAAGAATATTAAAAGAGTAACTACATTATTTCTTTTCATTTTCTGATAACATATATGTAAGCCTCAGATCTGTGTACGGCCTCAAATCTGTGTCCGTTTCTCAAATCTGTGCCCCATCGTGACGTCAATCGCTAATCTATGTCTGTTAAAATAGTAACGGCCTCAAATCTGTGTCCTTTCCTTAAATCTTTTTCCAGTTTGTTTCGCCATGCACAAATTTATGCCCGTCTAATAAGTACGGCCTTGTAGGATTTTTGTTTTATTAAGTCATTTCCAATAATTCAATGTTAAGTTGGGGTGGTGTTCTCCATGTGTGTGCTTGAAATTTTTACATGCATGTGTAATTATTGTATGTAGATGTAGGAAGATGTGGTATGAGTGCCAATGAGACAACTCTCCATCCAAGTTACAATTTATAAAAGTAAACCATTATAGGTCAAGGTACGGCCTTCAACACGGAGCATTGGCTCACACCGAACAGCAAGCTATAAAGGGCCCCAAAAAATTACTAGTGTAAAACCATTCAAACCGAAAAACCAACGGTCTAATCTATTTAAAAACGAGAAACGAGAAACACGTATGAACTACATAAACAGACGACAACTACTGTAATCAGATTCCTGACTTAGGACAGGTGCAAACATTTGCAGCGGGATTAAACGTTTTAATGGTACCAAACCTTCTCCCTTTTCTGAAACAATAGTATAACATCACAACATAGAAAAACACACTATAAAATATCAATTGGAAGGCTTAACTCAATCAAAAAACGTAAACATTTTATTAGTATAACTACAACATTTTCATATTGTTTGCTTTTCCTGATCCCGTTAATTGTTCTGTAGTAATTATCATTACTTCCCTTTACTCATTACGTCTTGAAATATAAATTAATAAACAACCTGAGACAAAATGACATCTGTATACAAGCAACTAAAGATACATGTACGGCCGTAAACAATGAATCAAACCTATTCTGTATCGTAAGCTATAAACACATACACCTATTTACAAACGTTTTGTTCAATGTTTCAATGTATAGATGTCACATAAAATGTTTAGGGTATAATTTATTGTGTTTAACAACGACATTTTGTGCCACTATCTTAATTATTAAAAAAGTTTTGGTTTTTTTTCTGGTGAAACTATTCCAGTTTCAAATCTATGTATTTTTTAAAATCCATTGTGTACCATGACATCAACATTCAACAACCACAACATAATTCAGTGTACAAATTATTGGCATAACGAGCATACATGTTACTTTCAAGATTGAAACTACACATTTTTTTTTACTTGATTACGTCTTGCTATGTCTTACGTCACCACATTTCGATAAAGGACATAGATTTGAGACAATGCAGGACATAGATTTGAGACAACAAAAGACATAGATTTGAGACAATAAAAGACATAGATTTGAGACAACAAAGGACATTAATTTGGAACGTCTATGACGCAATATTAAAAAGGACATAGATTTGCGGAAAGGACATAGATTTGAGGCTGGACATAGATTTGAGGCTTACATATATATATCTTATATGCTTTGTATCAATCTGATGAATTTAGCCCTTTTCAACTGATTTCATAGTTTCTTCTTGTCGTACCTTTAACAGATGCGGATCCAGGATTTTGAAAAAAGAGACAAAATTTGTAGTGAAACCGGTAAAAAGTCTGGATTAACCATAAATGAAGCTCCATAAGGAGGGGCAGGCCCCCCTCTGTTTACACCACTGTCCCAGGTTAGGGGGAGGTTTGGCACAAGTAAACATATTTAAAGCCGCCACATTCTGTATATGTCTGTCCCAAGTCAGGAGCCTGTAATTCAGTGGTTGTCGTTTTTTGCTGTTTATCATATTATTGTTTTGAAATCAGGCCTTTAGTTTTTTTGTGTGAATTGTTTTACATTTGTCATTCTGGGGCCTTTTATAGCTTACTATGCGGTATGGATTTTGATTATTGTTGAAGCCGTACAGTGACCTATAGGTGTTAATTTCTATCTCATTAATGGTCTCTTGTGGAGAGTTGTCTCACATGATGCATTTGAATAGACTTTGTCATTTCTGGGCCTTTTATAGGCAATTCAGTTATGTGTACAACAATGTCTGAATTTGACACTAACTATTTGACATGAAGCTATAAGTACCAATTTAAACCCTAATAAATCAGTTAATGATCGACACATCAAAACATCTACACATGTTGGAAATAAATAAATCATGATATCTTAACAAATTAATCCAGACCTTTCCAATGACCATCTAACTCTTACAGAAATATTGATGAGTGTGCAATCTACAGAGAAAGGTTCACAATTAAAATCAGCAAAACAAAACCCCAAGAGACATTGTGATGTGAAATTAACAAACTTTTATTATCTGGCCTACTTATTTATTTATAACACTCATAATCTAACATGATATTCTATATTACTTGTTTAATAAAATATATCATTAAGATACATTAATAGCATCCAAATGTCATACAAATGATCTTTGACATTAGTAATACTTTTTATTCTCAGCTTATTAATTCATTGCTAGGATCACTTTCTAAACATTCCTTTCATGTGTTTTATGTTTATACATACTGTAAGTATTAGATAAAAACATAAGGGTGTTAGTCGGATAGGGTATATCTAATTTACACCAAGATATTATGGTTAAAGCAAAAGGATAGATTTTAATAATTAATATCAGCAACTATTTCATGGTACATCAAGATAAATTTGAAATCTTCCATTAACTTGAATGCCAACCTAAATTTATACCTGGTTTACCTTAAGAAATCAGAAGCTTTCATATATCATTCATTAAAGTGAAAATGTAGCCCCATCTATTGCAGCAATCAAATGTAGTGTCAAGCACCATTTTTTGGCCAGTAACATGGCCTTGATTACAAGCACTGTAGATTCACACTAAATTCATACAATGACTGAATTACTTTTCAACCCTGTAGTAAAAACAATTAAGTG